GGCAGCCACAGGAGTAAGAACGCACTTCGGCATTAGGGGAGGGATCTGGATGACAACATGATGTCCACTAAGGCCAGGACCAGAGGGATACTTTTCCCCCACTTCTCCCTTAGGACGATTCCTGACAGCTCCTCTCCTAGTCAGTGTGCTATGGTGCTCACCAGGAGGGGACTCATACAGCCCATACCCCCAAGCCGAGCAGGCCTCCTGCAGCACTGAGGATTGAACCCAGGACCTCTCACTTAGCTGACATCCCTAGCCCCGCCCCTCCCTGCCCCACGCAGACCTTTTTGAGGCATGGTCTCTTTAAACCACTAAGTTGCCCCCTACGCTGGGCTCAAACTTTCCAACCTCCTGCCTCAGCCTCCCAAATGCCAGGATTAGCAGGCATGGGCTCTTGTGCCTGGCTTGTACCTGCCTTTTATTACAGATTAGCTCTAACACCGCTGTCACCTGTTGAATACACACAAAGACACACTGTGCACTCAGCATTTTACTCTGAAACTGTCCTATAATTCCTAATGCACTTGCCTTCTCTCAGACAATGTGTCCTGAGGAAAGACCTTGCAGCCTATGTACATTATATACCCTAACATTTGATGAGTAGATGAGGGCAGGAATAATCCTTACGTGTGAACAAGCAGCTTTGCAGGATTTCTGTCTTCAAACATGTTTAGGAAACATCTGAGGTGCTCACTGAAGCCACACTGCCTAGAAAAGGCATAGATTCTGGAGGAGTTTGGTTTGCTTTTTTGTTTGTTTTTGTTTTTCCTGTTTCTTTTTGCACTTTTAGAATTGAACCCAAAGTCTTGGCATTGAGCCACACCCCTTCCCCGCCTTTTTTTTTTTTTTTTTTTTTTTTTTTTTTTAAGTGAAATGTGTGTCTCACTATCCTCCCGCCTCAGCCTCCGGAGTGCTGGATGCAGGCTCGCGCTGCCGCAGCACCTGCTCAGATTCTGGAGCTTCCCAAGGAACTGTCGACTCTAGGATCTGGGATACTGTTCAGCAGCACAAGTGCCTGCCTGGCAAGCGCAAGGTCGTGAGTTCAATTCCCGGTACCAAAGAAAGAAAGAAAGAAAGAGAGAGAGAGAGAGAGAGAGGGAGGGAGGGAGGGAGGGAGGGAGGGAGAGAGAGAGAGAGAGAGAGAGAGAGAGAGAGAGAGAGAGAGAGAGAGCAGAGAGAGGAGGGGAGAGGGGGAGAGGGGGAGAGGGGGAGAGGAGAGAGGAGAGACAGACAGAACTAACCATCCCCTCCGGTGTAATAGCCCCACTCAGTCGCAGAACGGGTGTCCACGAGGGGGCAGTAGAGGCCGCCCCGCCACACCAAGGCCCTCTGTAGCCACCACCCGCCTTTCTGCCCTGAGAGCCCAGCAAGGCAGACTGGATCCTTCCTGCAAGCCCAGATGAAAGCCGCTGCTCCACCTTTGGGGACTTGGCCTTCGACACAGAAGCGTTGCTGGGGTCCGTCAGCGGCAAAGCGGAGCCTTCCTGAAGGCCAGTGATTAGCGCGGACTTTGCTCTCCGGGTTCAGGTCCGACCTGAGCAGCAAATTCGAACAGCTTCTTTTTAAACCCAAAAGTAAAACAGATCAGAAGGATGAAAATATCAAATCGTTGGATGTTCAGGAGTCCCCCACCAGCCAGGTGTGGTGGCACATTACTGTAATCCCAGCGATCGGAGGCTGAGGCAAGAGAATTGCCTGGAGTTCAAGGCTAGCTTAGGCTACATAGTGAATTCAAGACTGGCCTAAACTACACAGTGAAATGATGTCTCAAAAACTATACGGGAAAAAATGTGCCTCTCACCAAAAGAGGCCACCCAGGACCAGCTGTGCCTTATCTGCCTTCTCCCTCAACCTTGCCCCAGAGCCACAGGCCAGGCAGCAGACATCCACTCCTACATCCCTGGCTCTTAGCTGCTACCACACGCCCTGCATTCCAGCTTCTGCCTGGTCCCTGGAGTCCTTTGGTGTCACCCATGACTTAACTGTCAACCCAGTGGAAACGTTTTTTTTTTGTCTTTTTCCTTTTTATTGGTACCAGGGATTGAACTCACGACTGCCTGCTTGCAAGGCAGGCGCTTATGCCGCTGAGCTAAATCTCCAGCCCTTAGTGGAAACTTCTCGATCAAATTCACCTCCATTTTTTCTGCCTTACCTACTTCCCTCTGTTAGTGAATGACCCCATCACCACCTGTCCATCCAGAAAACCCAGAAATCATTCTGGGGTCTCCATTGGCCCTTTTACCTGCCTCATTCACAAGAGCCCTGTCAATCCCTCCTCAAGAAATCCAGAATTCATCTTTATTTGCCTGCCACTGCATAGCTCCTCCTGCAGGTCAGTCTTGAGGCTGTCCATCTACTTGTGTGCTACCATGAACCCCTGCACCACCATGCCCAGTGAGAAATACTTTTAAATATTTTAAAATGAGATTAGCTGTGAGTGGCAGCACACGCCTGAATCCCAGCCCTCAGGAGGATCCCTGCAAGTTTGAGGCCACCCTGAACTATCACTGGAATCTCCTGACTTTTAACTCTCCTGAATGTCTGCATCACAGTGTTACAGGGTTGCTCCTTCTAAAATGACTCAACAATCAGATTGCTTGCCTTTCTCTCTGTCTGGATTTAGATTCTAGGTTCTTTTATTCCCAAAGAATTGAATGAAAAGAGCAAAAATCAGTGGCAAACTTTATTTGAGAAGTAAAAGTGAAGGGCACAAGACAAACTGGCTTTGTGGGGTGAGCCTGGGCTGAGTAAAAGAGGAAAAAGCAAGATGAAAGAGCACTCCGGAGAAAGCAGCACCGGCTAGAGTGAGCAAAGCTGTCACAGCAAGCTCTCCTCAGCATCTGGGTCCTTTTATACTGCCCAGTCTCAAGGAATCCCACAGTTAGTGGTGCATACTGGTTCTGAGAGGTGGTGCTGGGATCCCATGCCCCAGGCTGTCGGCAGGCCCAGACTGTCCTAATGAAAAGCCTGGGCTTTAGGGACTGTTCTGCGCATGAATCCAGGATCTTGTAAACAGGTCATATCAACTTCTCCAGCCAGCTTTGTCAATCTATGTCAAAACTATGTAGTGAAGCCCTGTCTAAAAAAAAATGGGGAGTGGAGTCAGAAAGATTACAGGTTCAAGGCCAAGGCCATACTAGACAACTTAGTGGGAAATGTTTTTAAAAAGAAAGGTCAAATAATGTGACTCAATGGTAGAGCACTTGCCCAGCATGCATAATATAGCCTTGGGATCAATCCCCAGTACTGCAAAATAAAATAAAAAGTCCAGAAGAGGCTACTATAGCTGGATCCCGACAAACAACTCTGAGACAGTGACGAACAAGCAGCCTTTGGGGTACAGTTGCCTACAGTTGCTGCCTAAATACACCCTTTCCTGGCCTCCCTTAGCAGGGCATGTGTGCACACAGTTCTGGCTCAGGAAATTCCGGGAACATCAGAAGGGTGGCCTGGGATGCTGGGAGGGGCTGCTTCCCTGAAGAAAGCCTAGCATCACAAGCACTGTCTCTTCCCAGTTCTGCTGCTCCTCTGCCCCCATGAAAATAGGAAGGAAATCCCGGAGAGGCAGGCCTAGACCAATGCCGCCAGCCACTATCCAGAGCTTTGTTATGTGTGTTAAAGCTGCTACCAGTGACGTTTCCTCCTTTCTTGTCCAGCATAGGCCGGATGCCCCTCCTCTTTCCTCCCACCGTGCTACCTGCACCCACGGCAGGTGCGCGCCTCCGTGTGGCTGCACATGCATTCACTCCACGGAGGCTGAGCACTTGCCCTGGGCCAGACGCTGCTAGGAACAAGGGTTTTAGTGGTGCAAAAGTTACATTTTTAGGTTTAGTTCCAACCCCGTGAAACTTTCAGCCTCACAGGTAAGACATCCAGACAGTGAAAAGATGAGGGGAAAAAGTCCCTTCTCCAGACTCCAGGTGACTGCATGGCAGGAGGTTCAGGTCCTTCCCTGGGACTTAGTGCAATATTCCACGTAAAGTAGAAGCACTCTACAACCATGTTTTAAACACATTCTTTCTCAGGGGGGCTTTGAGATGTATTTTAAATATGTACATTTTAAGAGAATACGGTCTTCTTTTCTACCAAAAGCTCCCAGGAACAAACCTCACCTGTCACCCTTGGGGAGAAGATCCAGGAGCATCTGAGATAATGCTTAGTACCGGAGGGGCTCCTGGACTGTGTTTTTGCTGAAGGTTTTGTTTGGATTTTTCTCAGCAAGACTATCTTCCTGCCAGTGCCGCAAAGTGTGATTCTGAAAGCACTTAAAGTAGCTCCAGGTTCTTGGCCCACAGCTGATTAGGCATAGTTTTAATAGTCCCCTAAAAGCCCTGTTTTGTTGCCCTTTTTACTATCCTAGGTGAGAGCAGCTGTGAACCAGGCAGGCAGAGACAAAAGGAAAACACGACCCCTGCGCTGGGCTGTGCTTCTGTTGCTATGGTGACACGTGATACACAGGTGAGAGCGCAGCCAATGGACTGTAGAGGCCAGAGACAGGAAAGAGCCCCACCTCCCAGCCCTGGAAAGGACTTCACTGAAGCCAACGGGCCCATTTCCCTTCTTCTTAGTAGAAAATCAAAAGGATGAGCAGCCTTGTCCCTAAAAGTCCCCAAGGACAAAGTCCAGGATCTCTGAGTCACCATTAGGTGACCTTTCACAATATGTATGACCCTGAGTGACTTTCCCATCTTTAACCTAATTCTCTTTTGTCTTTCCTGCCCAACTCCCTTTCCCATGGCTTCTGTAGAAATAAAAGTTGAGCATCACCTTAAACTCTGTACAGCCACCCAGAAGGGAAGAGAAAATATGAACTTGCTTGTTTCTGCCCCACCACAACCCACTGTGGTCCTTGGAGGTCCCACTGTTTTCTGCCTTAGTCCTGGTTCTGGGTGTGGCTGCAGTGGGGAACCCCCCTCCCTAATATCTCAGGCACTGGCCACCAGGGAAGTGACTCAAGCAGGAGTCCCCCCCTCCCTCAATGAGACAAGGCAGAGAAAGCAGGAAGAGATGCTATTTTTAATGAGGATCTTTAAAAGCCTTTGCCATGGCAGACAGAACCCAGGCAGCCTAGAAACCCACACAGCTGGGCTCTCGTGCATCCAGATGACCCTGCAAAACAGAAATGGTTCTGCTAAATTAGAAGGGTGTCTTCTTCCCATCTCAAACTAAAAAAAAAATCCAAGCCTTCAAAATGGTTTCAGGAACCATCCTCCCTGCACAGCATGGGATGCATTAGGGCACATCCTGGTTAAAGGTGAGAGGAATGGAGAGCACCCTACCCAACATGCACCCAGGGAAACCACTTCATTCCTCTGAAGCCCCAGGGATAGGCTGTGGGCAGGACTATCCTCCACCTGGTGCCAAACCCCCTCCTTTCTCTGCCATGCTGTACCAGTCTGGGTTTCCATTTCTCCTAATCCAAATCACCAGACAGGAAGATCCCTGCCACTGGCGTGCTAGAGAGTTTCTGGGCCTCCTCTTCAGTCCCTAATCCTCTAAAACTGTGTCAGGAAAACTAAAAGCTTTCATGAAACTCCTCTTTGGCTTCTCCACTTGCTTTCTTTCACACCCCAGACCAGTAAGCTGGTTCTTTTCTCAGGAGTGAAGCCACACCATGTGTAAGTAAAGTTAACACCTACCCGAGCTTGGGTTCCGTCTGGTCTCTCCCAACAGCTGAGCATGGTGATTTTGCTAATTAAGTCATTTTCTTGTCTTTAATTAGCTGCATGTAAATCTTGTTGGGAAGTGTTGGATTTGTGAAATAGTCTGGGATATAAATCAAAAAGAAAAAATCATCTATACTCAAGAGAAAGACTAGGAGGGAGGCAGCTTGCTCTGCTAAAAAGTTAGAATGGCTTGTTTCTCTGACTGCTATGAATGCCTCACTTCATAGCATGAGTGACACATGGCCCCCACCAGAACGGCTCCGGACGTGGCAGCTCCTAGTCCCAGGAAGGCTCACACAGGATGCCCCTGCCACACTGCACCATGCCATTTGCTAGCTGCTTGCTGACACTCAGGGAGCCATCAAGGGCTGGGGGATTGTCTGGGTTTTCTGTTCCAGGCCCATCTTGAGGTCTCAATAAATGCCAACGATTATTCTGATCTCCACTTGGCTTGCCAGCGCCTCCTCTGAAGTACTGTGCAGCCCTCTCTTGAGAATACCCTCCAGAGGAGAACCAGGCTCTGCGGCATGATGACAGAAGAGGGTTTTCATACAACTGGCAAATATGAGTCACAGGCAGCATCTGCTGTGGCAGCAAAGACAGACTTAGATTGTTAGAAGCAGTTGGAGGAGACAAATAACTCCCAGCATTCACTGCACCCAAGAAATTGGCTAGCCCAACGCCTTTCCTCTAAATACCATTGACCTTAAGCCCTCTTGGGCAGCTGTGTCTACTAATCACCTAGAGAGCCTTTAAAACCATGAATGGGGGCCTCACCCCAGACTAATTAAGTAAAAATCTCTAGGGGTGGGACTTGAGCGTTGGAATCGGTTTTAAAAGCTGCCCAGGTGATTCTAATGTACAGCTAGGGTCGGAAAGAGCTGCTAGCCTGTTCCTTTCAGAATCTCAAAATTCTCAATCCTCTCCAAGAGGAAGTTCTGGCTCATTTTCTCTCTGGCATCATTTTGAAGAATCAACAGTGGAGCAACAATGCCTTCTGAAACAGCTCCCTTGAGGGATGTCAGGTAGAGGGCCCCAGGCACAGCAGGGAACTTCTGCCAGACTACCAGCCATACCCTCGCCTGGCGGTACCATACCCTGCACGGATGCTGCCACGCTCACCTGCAGCAAATTCTAGGACGTTGTCTGGTCTTTTCAGGAACATCTCTCTGGAAAACATTAAGGGACAGGTTGGGAGGGGAAGCAGGCTGGAGGGCAGATGTAGCCACTGCTTGGGTCTGCGTCTCCCCACAGATTAATGTGTACCACACTCAGAGCCAGTAACCCAGGGCACCTTGGACAAAGACCTTTTCTTCATAAGTTTTCTTCAACTCAGGAGCAAAACATCTTGAATGACAGTAAGTCGAGGCTTTGTTCATTTCACAAAAGTGTTGTGCTTTACTCAGGTGGGCCATGTCATTCCAAAAGCTATTATCTATTATTATTATTATTATTTTATGAGGCAGTCCTGGGGCATTAGCCTAGGGCCTTTGCACTGAGCTACATTCCCAGCCTTTTTTTCCTCACTAAATTGCCTGGGCTGGGCTCAAATTTATGATCCTCCTGCTTCAGTCTCCTGAATGCTAGGATTACAGGCGTGTGCCACCATGCCTGGCTTCACAAACATTGTCACAAAGCCAGTGTCAAGCCAGGGGCAGGAAGCTAACCTGAAGAGCATGGTCCTCAGGGGGCTTGTGTGTGTCGACATAGGCAATTTCACAATGTGGTAAGGCTAGTTAACCTTGAATTCTAATGAAGAGGAAAGGGAATACACAAAGATGAACTTCAGATAGTTACTGGCACTGCACTATCACACATAATAACACCCCACGTCCCAGTGCACTGAAAATGTCTTACATCCCCTCAAGTTTTATGGCTTATAAAATATACTCACAAGTATTATCTCACTTTATAACATCTCTGTGAGATGGCAGTTACTGTGGTCTCATATCATATATGAAGAAACCAAGCCTCCAAAGGTTAATCATTTGCCCAAATTCATAAAGACAGCAAATAAAGCTAGGCATGCGGGTGTACTCCTATAATCTCAGCACATAAAACCAGCACTTGAGAGGCTGAGGCAGGAGGACCACTGTGAGTCTGAGATCAGCCTGAACTATATAGTGAGACCCTGTCCCAAAAAACAAAAACAAAAAGATATTAAAGGCAAGCTGCACTGGTCCTGTGACTCCTAGGTCAGGGCTTTCCACCGTGGGTTCTCTTGGCCCCAGGCTGCTCTGGCCCCCAAACTCCACTTCCATATGAGCCCTTGGCCAAGCACACCCAGGCGTCAACACCCTGGTGCAGTAATTTAGTTGCCTTCTTCTACTCAGTTTGCTCATTATTGAGCACAAGTAAGTATAAATAACTGCATAAGAGATGAAGAACTTCCGGAAAAAAAAAATGATAAAATATGATGCTACTTCAACAAACTTGCAAGCAAATAACAGAACAGGTAAATCCTCAAATGTCCAAGAGATCAATAACCTGCAGTAAGTGCTGGTACTCCAGATCAGAGGGAAGTAGGTTACTGCAAGGGGGATCCCAAAATCGCCACAGAGCAGATGACTTTGAGCAGACCCTTGAGGGATGCACAGGATTTCAGCAGGCAGGATTAAGGGATTAAGAGATGACAACATTCCAGAGCCAGAGAACAGCAACAGCCAGGCCCCAGAAATGGAAACAATGCATGTTAGCACCTGGGTTGTGTCCACCTTAGTATCCCCAGAATTCAGGGGAGCCCTCAAAGGGTTCCTGTCTAGGCTCTATAAGTCTTAAGCATATCGAGGAAGTCCAGTGTGGCTGAATGGGGCAGTGTGGAGGCCCTGCCAGAGAGCGCTGACCACCAGAGAATTTATATCCAACCGGAAAGACACCAGGAAGCAGGCCCAGCAGAGTGGCACGGTGGCAGCGTGCTGGGCCCATAACCCAGAGGTTGATGGATCAAAGGGGATGTGGCTCAGCAGCAGGGTGACTGCCTGGCAAGCGTGAGGTTGTGAGTTCGATTCCCTGGAGAGACAGCGAGACAGCGAGACAGACAGACAGAGAAAGAAAGGGAAAAAGGACACCAGGAGGAGAATGGGGTGTGGCTTGGTGGTGGAGCAAGGACCTAGCACCCAGCAGGCCCAGCACTCTAAAAAGGCTATGGGAATGGAATGGATGTAAGTATCTGGGTACAAGTCACACAATCAAAGAAGTGAGAAGAGAGGAGTTACTAGCTACTCCTGATTAAGACAGCAGACACACAGAACTTTTTTTTTTTTTTTTTTTTTTTTTTTGTCTTTTTCCTTTTTATCGGTACCAGGGATCGAACTCACGACTGCCTGCCTCCAAGGCAGGCACTTATGCCGCTGAGCTAAACCTCCAGCCCCACACAGAACTTTTATACAAGAACTTCATTTATATAAAATACAAAGAGGCAAAATGAATCTGTGCTATTAGAAATTCACAATCTTGGTGGGTCTGAGGATGCAGCTTGGTGACAGAGCTCTTGCCTGGCATGTGTATCTGAGTTAGAAGCCTCACCACTGCAAAAGAATCTTTTAAATGCAGAATGCTGGTTGCCACCATGGGGAGAGTAAATGGAAAGGACCCCAAAGGAAAAGCCTAGTGGTCTACCAGGCCTTGGGAGGCAGTGGTGAGGGGAGAAAAGGTCCCTGAAGTAGCCAGGACTTCACACACAGCCTCCTCCAGGGAACTTTCCTGGACAAACACAGAAGCAGGGCCATCCTTGACCAATGACTGAAACTGCACTCACGATCCTTGTTTGTGCTCAAGACAAATGGCAATTTAATTCACGTTTCTCATGGTTGTACCCACCTCTCACCTGAAACCATTCCTAACTTGGATTGCAAGCTCCCCAGAATAGGAGCCATCACTCTTTAATTCCCCTTAGAAGAAAATGTATAAAAAATGGCCAAATCCCCGTGGCTGACATTGACAGATGACTCCTAAACTTTATTTTATCCAAGTTTTACCCTTGGCCTCAATGAACCTGACCTTCAAAGACAAACTGGACAGGTTTCATTTTCTTCTTTTCCCTGTCTCCTTCCTCTGTCTTTATCTGCTGGCCCTCAGAGAAATGGCTAAAATATGTAGAATAGTGAGATTGAAGAAAAAACAAAGAGGTCTGAGAAAAAAGCAATCCTCCAGATATACCCTCTTGTTCTCTTTTGAAGGCTGGGGCTTGAACTCAGGACCTATGCATACAAGGCAAGAGCTCTGTCTAAGGGCTACGTCCCAGCCCTGAGACCTCTTTCACTTTGTCTTGTGATGTTGAAACCCCAGACCTAGCATACACACTAAAAAAAGCCGCTCTACCACCAAGCTACTGAGGCCTGGTTTTGATTAGATGAAAGGGAGCACCCCTGGTTATATCCACAAGGTCCTGTGGACCGGTACTTACAGCACACTATAGTGGAACAACAAGGGTCCAAATCCTAGCCCAATGATGTGAGGAAAGGTACTTGACTTCTCTGAGACTAACTTGTCACACTCGTAAAATGGTAACAACAATTTTGTTTTCATGTTTTGTTTTCAAGATAGAATCTTGCTATGTAGCCCAGGTTGGCCTGGAACTCTTGATCCTCCTGCTTTGGCTTCCAGAATACTGGGATTACAAGTGTGCACCACCACACCCTACATAAATTTATCGTTTCTAGAGTGATCAGCAAAACTGTATCAAGATGCAGCAAAACTGTATCAAGATGACTCTGTGTGGGCACTAGGGACACAACACATGACTACCAGTTTGGAGCACTGGACCAGTAACAGAGACAGAAGATTGAGGCAGACAATACATTATGACACAGTGTCACTATGTAACCCAGACTGACTGCAAAATCACGGTAACCCTCCTGCTTCAGCTCTTGAGTATTGGGATTACAGGCGTGCACCACTATGCCTGGCTCTGAATTTAATATTCTAAAGTCCTACTAATGATCTTGTTTAGTTCCTTCGGTTGAGAATAACGTGTCATATCCAGTGGCTGCTGGTGGGGTTCCTCAATGCCAAATTCCCTCTTCCAAGGATTACAGGTATTGATTTATCTTTACAGTTAAAGTGAACGAGTCTTAATATTTTGAAGATTTTAGAGGCCAGGTGCGATAGCACATGTTTGTAATCTAAACCCTTTGAGAGGCTACAATAATAAGATTGCAACTTCAAGGCCAGTCTGGGGCAGTCAGCAATTCAGCAAGAGCTTGTCTTAAAATAAAAAACAAAGAAGCCAGAAATACTGGCACACACCTGTAATCCCAGCACTCAGGAGGCTGAGGCAGGAGGAGCGCTGGGAGTTGGAAGCCAGCCTGAGCTGCATAGTGAGTTCAAGACCAGTCTGAACTACATAGCGAGAGCCTGTCTCAAAAAACAAAATAAAGGGCTAGGGATGTAGCTCAACTCGAAGGGCCTGGGTTCAATCCCTAGTGCCATAAGAACACACACAGGAAAAAATTTAGAGATAACTGAAGGAATTCTCTAAGAGATTGCTTAAGAAAACCTCAGCATGGGGGCTGGGGATTTAGCTCAGCGACATAAGCGCCTGCCTTGCAAGCAGGCAGTCTTGTGAGTTTGATCCCGGGCACCGATAAAAAGGAAAAAGACAAAAACAAACAAACAAAAAAGAAAACCTCAGCACCACAAATCCAAGTGTTAAAAAAAAAGTTTGATATTAGGATTTTTTTTTCTAACTTTTAAGAAGTTAGAAACAACAGGGAGCGTTGAAAAAAAGGGCAACGATATTCATCTACCCCCAGCAAGATCTGATGAAACTGTCCACCATGTCCAAGGTTAGTCTGGAAAATCACCGACCTGAAGAAACCACTTAGGAGCAACTCCACTTCCTTGTGGGTCCTCAGGTACCTTTCGTTAGCAATCCGAGTCTGGATCTGCGGGGCAAGAGCAAAGGGTCAGGCTCCTTGAGGAGCCCGCTGCGGGGTGAGGAAGGACGGGAGAATCGCCCAGCGCGGTTAACCCGGGTCTTTTCCCGGAGTGCTAACCGCCTAAGTCGCCAGGCTCCGCTCCACTTCTCTCCCGACGGGGCCAGGTCAGACGTAGGGGCCTTCACTGAGGTCGGATCCCGAACCGAAGTTCTCGGTGCTGTTACATACTGATGTATCTGGCAGCAATTTCCGCCCCTTTCTGCATTCCTGCTTTGATTTTTTCCTGCACTTTTAGTCGCCCGCCGAGTGGGGCCGAGAAGCCCGAAGATCTGAGCGGTCTCCCCGGAGCCCTCCTCCATCTGGGCACGGGTCCCCGGCCCTCTCCTCTCCCGGCCCTCCTCGCTGTCTGAGGACCCCGTCCTGGCGAGCAGTATTTCCTGGAGGCGGGCGTGGGGCGCACGGATTCACGCACCTTGAAATTTCGCAGCTGTTCCAGCTGCTCGGGATTCAGCAACCCACGGTCGGGTCCCAGAGCCGGATCCCGCGGCGTCGCCATCGTGCCGCGGTCGTCACGGCGACCGGACAGGGGCCAAGGAGGCCCCGCCCCAAGCCCCGCCCACCCAGCCAGCCCCTGCCTGCAAACCCCAGAATTCTAGGAGACAATCTGGGCCTGGCTCTGCAGCTGAGGCGTGAAATTGAGGCGGCCTCGGCAGGATACAGAGTGGGAAATGATTTCTCAATTTAATTATGTAAGCAATGAGCCTTCCTCATTGGCCGTGCCTACCTCAAATAATATTTTTCTTAGCCCTAGACTAGAACAAAACAGGAAGGTTTCCTAAGACAAGGTCTCCAAGATGTTGGTTCCCTTTCTGGCCAGACGTGGAGGAATCCTGGAGTTGAAAACCGAATCCAAGCTTTTTTCCTTCTCAACCTACTTCTTCTTCTTCTTCTTTTTCTTCTTTTTTTTTTTTTTTTTTTTTTTTTTTTTTTTTTTTTTATCGGTACCGGGGATTACGACGGCCTGCTTGCAAGGCAGGTGCTTATGCCGCTGAGCTAAATCCCCAGCCCCGCTTCTCAACCTTCTGTAGCTTTTGTGGACATTTCTCAGTGGAGTCTTGGAGCCTTAACATGAAAGCACCCAGAGTACACCACAACCGAACTGTCTCAGGATGCTGGGAAAGGCAGCGGGGCATCCTGGCAGAATTTCTTTTTGTACTGACTTTTTTTCTTGTTTTGTTTTGGTTAGTTGGTTGATTTTTGTTTGTTCTTTTGTTTGAGACAGGGTCTTGCTGTGTAGTCCAGGCTGGTCTTGAACTCACTGAAGTCCTTCTGCCTCAGCCTCCCAGTGCTGAAATTACTGGTGTGCGTTTTTCTCTTCACCTTGTACTCCTCATAAGTTCTAAATTATTTTCCCCACACCGATTAAATATGGAAGGAAAAAGGGAATTAGTCTTCAAGGTCTATTCTTCTAGGTTCCAATTAAGAAAGGCAAAGGAAACATAAAGCCAGAGAGCCAAAAATAGCAAACCTGAAAGGGCAGGAGCCTGTCTGTCAATACACACACACACACACACACACACACACACACACACACACACACTGAGCTCCCACGCCCACAGATGTCACACCCAGCAGACGCCTTCTGAGGGGATGGAACGGGAAACCCAAAACGGGGGCTGCCTTTTTAGATTTCTGAACAGTGTCCCCAAGGAGCAAAGAAATAACTTGAGAAACAAACTCAGCACCAGCCCTTGGGATAGAGGGAAGGGGTCCGTGAAAGGTCTGCCTCTATTTTTCTCAGCAAAGACTGAGAAGTCAGGGGAAATGCTGATGGTTCCCAGCGCAAAGAAAGGGGTCAACTGCCTGGAACCTCTTCCAAGTTAGTAACCATTTTGGTTGGTTGGCTGTTTTTCAGGAGCGTCGATAGAGAGATAAGCAGCCAGGACCAGAGGTTAACCAGACCTGACTCTTCCCACCCTACACACCCCAAAGAAGTGAACGAAGAAGCCCTGGGGCTGCACAAGTGGTGTGGTTGCCACGAGCCCCCATAGTTCTCAAACATCCAGAACACAGCTGTGCTAGATGTACTGGAAATGTAAAATAGACTCCGTATGTTGAAGACTTAGTGAAAAGGTGTAGAATAACTCATTAATAACTTGGTATTGATCATGTTTACATAGTGTTTTGGACATAGCAGTTTAAATAAATGCATTGTTAAAAGCAATCTTCTATAATTTTTAAATTATATATATGGCTTGAATTATTTTAGACATCATTGGTGTCTGAACCTGCAAATGTATTCACACATGTGCATATATGCATAATTCTCTCCATCTTCTCCCCCTCATGCATAAAATAATTGATGACCTCTTTTTGCAAGTATATGCTTTTAAACCATTTATTATTTATTTATTTTTGTACCAGGAATTAAACTCAGCACCTTGCACTTGCCAGGCAGGCCCTTATGCCACCGAGCTATATCCCTGGCCTTCTGCAACCACATGATATTGTGCTTTGAGAATCAGCCAACCTGTTCTCCATTGATTGTATCCTGTGGCCCAAATACCCAAGCGTGAGAGAGGCTGCTTTTGTTTCCTTAACATCTCTTTACTCACTGATGTATTATACTGGCCTCACCTCCCTGCTTGAAGTAGAAACCACTTGAGAGCAGGAAGGTTATGTAGCTAATTATTTGTACATTCTCAAAAATTCTACTGTACACCAGGTGTGGTGGCTCACCCTTGTAATCTCAGCACTCGGGAGGCTGAGGCAGGAGGATCGTTGTGAGTTCAAGATTAGCCTGGGCTACAAAGTGAGCTCAAGGGCAGGCTGAACTGCACAGTGAGACCCTGTCTCAAAAAGACAAAAAAAAAAATTCTACTGTAGACAGCTTCATCTGTATTCAATCAGAGAAACTAGGAATAGCTGATGACCTCACCCACATGTACTACCAACTCTTGCCTTTTCTGAAAAACATACCAGTTGTCTGGCATTTCTCACTTTCTGGGAATTTGAACCAGGAACAGAGCGCTCTCTCACTCTCTCTCTTTATAAAGTCAATAATCTTTTTTATATAGGACAGCTTAGATTTGAGAGCAGAGGAATAAGAATGTGAGCTTGGGGATGGTGGAAAGAAGATATCTAGGAGGATTAGGCTTTGAAGCTACATTCCCTCCTGGAGAGGAACTCCCTAGAATGGTCTCTGAGGAATAGGGTCTCTACCCCAGACTTTATGTCATAGGGACCCCCTTTCCCATGGCCTAGAAAAACATGAGATATAGATACCCATGTCCATTCAGCCAGAAGGGCTGATGAGAGCTGTTCCTCTCCTCCTGAGACCTTGTCTCTCCCCTCATCCCCAGGCTGATGATACTTCCAATCTGAGGGCACCAGAATGAGGGAAAAAGTAGAGATATTTTTCTGCCTGCAGCTGTCTCCCCAAATACTGACTGGGAAGAGGTAAGGAGGAGTTCATTGAAATTCATTTTCATGAATGTTTAATGGTTCAACTAATATGATTAGGTCCAGGCCTGAATGAGCAGCAGGGCGGCAGACCTGCTGAAACGACACAGGGTAATGAGATCAGCCAGGCTGTGGGGTCTTCCCTTCTCCATCCTTGGAGGGTGTGATCTGGTTAGCAGCTCCATAAATACAGAGATCAGGTCAGAGAGCAAGAAAAGAGTGGTGGGGATGGGGCAGGAGAGTGGAAAGTTCCTTTGGAGAATATGCTTGTACTTCCTGATTCTCTGATACTATCAGTTTCATCTTTCAAGTACCCACCATAGAGTCCTCCACCACTTTCTTCCCCTCACCATCTTAGGGGACCTATTGGGAGAACCTGGGCATCTACATGATGATGTGCACTCGTCTATGCACACACATACACACACACACACACACACACACACACACACTCCTGCCGGGATGTGACTCCAGGCCACAGAAACCCAGGCTAAGAATGGCAGTTGGGCAACAGAGAATCAAGCAACAGAAAGAAAGACGATGTCTTGCTCAGGCTTAAAAGAAACTGGAAGAGGAAGAAAGGCCAGCCTTAGCCACTGCTCCCACTCCTGAGTTTGCTGTGGGAGTTAAATGTGTGGACTCAGGAGCCAGCCCGCCCGCACTCCAATCTTGGCTGACTTCCTTCTAGCTTTGTGACCTTAGGCAAGTATTTATTTGCTCTGCAGCTTCTTCATCTCTATTCGGAGAGGGTAATAGAATCCACGTCACAGGGCAGTGGTGAGCGTTTAATGAGTTAGAATAAAACATTAGGAACAATGCCTGGGACACTGTAAATGCCTATTATTTCACTTTCAGAAGAGGCCACTTGCCGTGATAGCTCAGGATTGGAGGCTCTTGGGATTCATCTGGGACACGTTTCAGTGACACCAAGAACACTGAGGAGACATCAGCCCCACCCCAGGGTGAAGAAGGGAATGACGGACAGGCAGTGTTCCACAAAGGCTGCGAGTGCTGGTGCGTGAGCACCTGGGCAGGGCCGAGCTGCTGCAGCTGACGCGTTAGGTCCGCAGGTGCCCCCGCCATCCGCAGGTGCTCCTCCGCTCGCACGGAGCAGGGCTTGGCGCTCCTGCACGGAGGATCAAGCTCCCTCCAGATCACGGAGCTCACTGATTACGCATGAAAGTAGGATGTTTCGGGAATAATGGCCCCAAAATGTGCTTCCCCGCCCATCTTTCCTGCCTCAATCAATTAGAGCAAGTCCCACCCAAGCAACCAGACTGGAAGGAGCAGCACAGGAAGGAATAGTTGGGTTTCTCTGCCCTAAAGGAGACCTGACAGCTGTGTGTCTCCCCACTGGAGGCACCAGGAAAATACTCCCGGCAGAGGTCTTTGCATGGAGTATTCATTAAGCACTGACTACACACCAGCACGGTGTTAGACACTGAGCAGTAAAATGCTGAATTAAACGGTGTCTTGGTCTTCAAGGAGCTTACGGTGAGAGCTCTTGCCACCACTGCTGCCTTCCAGCCCACGATGGTGTACACACAAACCCCCCAGAGGGAAGGAAGGGGGTGTCGGCAAATGCCAGAAACGTATAGCTTTTCTTGGTTCGTTTTCTGGAAGACATGTAATTCCCTTCTTGCAATTATCTCAGCCTGCTCTCCCCTTCCCGCGTCCCTTTCCATTTTTTTCTCCCTGGGATTTTCTACTCTTTTCCCTCCAGACTCTGCTATCGGCTTCCCTCCCTACATACACCTCTCTCAGTCACCCCAACCTGTCCCAACTGTCCTATGCCATTTTCTCTTCCGTGGTTTCTTTCCTTGGCTCCCCACTCCGGGGTCCCCAAATGCCAGCACCTCTCTGCTCCCCACCCCCAGCGCCCTGGGTCCTCTCTTTCAGCACCGGGGACAGCTCCAGCCCCCGGAACAATGGACCCCATTTTAGGGCTCCTCTATAAATTCTCCATCTTAGTGCCTTGCCTAACTCCTGATTGGGGAGTAAGATTGGGGGAAGGGTTGTTATCAACAGGACCAGCTGCTCTTCTGGGGACGGGAAGGGAGTCAGGAAGGATGGCGATAGAAAGAGGGCGTGGCTCTTGTCTGGATTGTGCGTCTCTCTCTAGGGTAGAGAATTTGTAGTCTACCCCTGAGGCTGACATCACCGGTGTCAAGGGAAAGGAGGTGGGAGTGGGGAGGGGGTGTGGAGGGGGGAGGTTTTTGTTGAGGAGAGCGCGGCCGGAGAGCAGAGCTCCGGGACCCAGGTGACCGGGAAAGCAGGCAGCCCCAGCGGCGGGAGCAGCCAGCAGCAGCCCAGGCCCGGGGACAGGGGTGGGGGTGGGAGGGGGGCTGAGGGGAGGACCTGAAGGGGGGCGGCAGGGCAAAAGGGATCCCCGGAGCCCTGCCGCCATCAGGAATCAAGCATCTGGCATCAGGGATCTCCGGACCCAGCAGAAGAATCAGCCACAGGGGAGGTGTTCCCCCTCCCCATCCCGGGAACCAGCGAGAGCTCCACCTGCCCCACATCAGAGACACCCCCCCCCCCTTCACTGAAGCTGCTGGCAACCATATCTCAGGCCCTGAACCCCTCAGTCTCCTCCCCATCCCCTTCCTCAGGCCCTTTCCCCTACCTCCACCTCTTATTGCTGGCCCCAGTTCTCAGCTCTCCTGAGCCCCAGAACCCCTGATAGCACCCCCAACCCTTCAGGTCTTGACCACATTGACCCCCATCCTGGGATCTTCGCCAGACCTCTGGGAGAGAGATCATTTGTTTGGGCTATGCCCCCTTGTGGCTCAGCAGTGTCTGCCTAGACCCCTGACCCCTAGCCCTCAACTCCTGGGCCTCCTTTGTGTGAAGATCTGCTCCTCTGCTCAGCAGTGTGGTTGGGGGCCAAAGGGAAAGCTGGCCCCGGCTGGGCCCCCAGCCCCCACCACTTGACTCCTTGTTGGGCAGCTCCCCTGGCCTCTGGGCCTCTCCCTGCTCCCCTCGGCCCCTCCTCCTGGGCCGCCCCAATGAAGGAGCCGGATGCCATCAAGCTATTTGTGGGGCAGATCCCGAGGCATCTGGAGGAAAAGGACCTGAAGCCCATCTTCGAGCAGTTTGGTAGGATCTTCGAGCTGACTGTCATCAAGGACAAGTACACCGGGCTGCACAAGGGTGAGGGGTCAGCCTAGTCTGGAGAGACGGCAGTGGGTGGCTCAGAGGCTGGGAGGCGGAGAAAAGCCAGGCTGGAGTGACAGAGTGACTAGGAAGATCTGCTATGGAAAAAGAGTCCAAGGGCTCAGGACTGGGATGGAGGAGCTAGAAGAGAAGTCACTAGAGTGACCAGGGCACTCCAGGATGAGGACCAACGGGTTTCTTTTGGGTGAAGAGTTTTCAACAGGCCTGCAGAGATGTAGACCCAGAGGTGGAAGCAGATGTTAATGTCACAGGATGAATTTAAGAAAGATGGAGGGACAGAGAGCTGGTTTGAGAGATAAGCTGGGCAGGTAGGTGTATGTTTATGTGTATGTGAGAATCTGAGTGGCCTCAGAAAATGTCAGGATGGAGGTTAGAACACAGGGGCAGGTGCTCCATTTAGAGAGTAGAGACTCCCTGGGCAGGGCAGTCTGGGACAGAAGAGAGGAAGGAGGGACTTCAGGAGTGGGGCCTGAATGACAGAGATTGGTAGTGACTGGGAAATGGGGAAGATAAGAAGGATGCCCTGAGGCCTCTCTCTCCCAGGGCTGTGTGGCTAAGCAAAACTGGCTCTGGGGTCAGAACTTGGAAAGCACTGAGGACCTTTGGGCCATCTTCCCTCCCGTCATTGGGCCCAGGGAAAAAGCACTTGCGGCTGTGTTTTCCTGTCCATCTCAGTTTCACTCACCACCATGTACCTGCACCTTGTAAGGTTGAGATTCGAGGAAACAGGGAAAATAGAGAAAAAGGGTGCTGATGGCCAAGATGGAGGGAGGAGAAATGAGAAAGGAGACCAGCCAAGGAAGAGAAAACTACCCTCCAAGCACTTGTCTGACAACCACAGGCCACGTCAAGTCCCATCTCCCAGCAGCCCAAGGACCTCCCTTGCCTATCACTGCCCACATGCAGAGCTCCAGGCCTCCATTCCACTTCTGGGACTCAATGTCTTCCCGTGTCAGATACCGCCACCTCAGCATGCAGGAAATAGCAAGAAAGGAAAAGCTCCTGTCCTCAGTCTTAAGGGGAAGCCTCTTAGGGAGAGAAGACCAGGGACTCAGACCCAACACTATATCTGCCCTTGCCCCTCCTCAGGATGTGCCTTCCTGACATACTGTGCCCGCGATTCAGCCCTGAAGGCCCAGAGTGCCCTGCACGAACAGAAGACGCTTCCAGGGGTGAGTCCCATCCCTTGCAGGCCCTGTTGTGGCTGAGAAGGGCCTTAGAGACAGCAGGGGTGTACCATCCTCCCAAACACTGAACGTATTTTCCAGCTTCTCCCATCACCAGAAGTCCCTCTCTATTTCTGGCATCTGCTTTTCTTACTATAAACAAATGCATTTCCCTAGTCTTACCTGGAGAGAAGCAAAGGAGTGATTAGTGGAGTAAACATGACCTTTTGGAGCAGATGAGTCCCTCCCCCTTCCCCACCTGCTCATGGAGGGTGGCTGTGCCACAGGGAGGACGATCTGGTGGGAGGTGTGGGGAGCAGACTTGTACAGCAGCGTGGGTCAGGGTGAACCAGAGGTACCCAGACACCCTTTTGTGGCTCTGGGGAGATAGCTGGGTGGCTGGGAGGTGAAGGAGGCATGCTGTTGCCTTCCGAATAAGGCTGCTGGGACCTGCTGGACTGGCATCCAGGTGTTGGTTTTAGAGTTCTGACAGCTTCCCTCTTGTCTCCCAGAAAGAGCCCTGGGAACAGCAATGGGGCAACAGGGCCAAGCAGGGGCTGGACAGGCCTAGGTGGGGAAGTAAATAGGGCAGAGCAGGCATCAGGAGAATCAGGACTGACCCCACCAAGGGTGACTGGGGAGGCAGGGATGTTTCTGATGTGGCCTCTCTCCTGCAAGGTTACACCCCTTTGTTTCTTCTCAGCCAGGCTTACAGATGGTCCCCAGCCTGGGCTGGCAACTGAATAGTAGGAATAAAGAATCTCAGGCTGCCCCCAAGCACAAAACTAGGTGGCACAGGGGTCACAGAGACCCCTTCCATTCCACCCCGTGCCTGCTTCTATTTTCTCCTCCTGGGCCTCCCTCCATGCCTGTCTTCAGTGTAGCCTTGTTCAGCATCCTCTGGGTCCTGGAGACACATTTGTCCCGCCCTTACTTCTGCCCCACACAGGAAGTAGAGAATGGGGTTGATCATCCATCTCTTCCTGGGAAGGAGACAGACAAAGCGAATTGGGGAGCAGCAGGAGGGGGAAAATTAGAACTGCTCCTACTACTCTCAATTTCAAACGCTTCCAATGTTTTCACTGGGTCTCAGCCCTTAATCTGTTGGGACAGCCAACTCCACCGATCCTCCCTAGTAGTCTTATCCTGGTCAATGACAGAACAGCTCCCACCACACAAGGTGGAGGACTCATGTGGGTGTGAACAGGCCTGGGGGCCCGGGCTAGCTTGTGTTCATGCACACACACACACACAAACACACGAATGCCCACAGGTCAGGTGTGGGTACACGAAGCCTGGCTCCTACCCCTTCCAATCCCAACAGTCTCCTCAGCCTGTTGTCTCCCTACTTCAGAGCATCTGCAGAAACGGGGGGTGGGGGCGCAAAGGAAAAGACAGTAATACAAAAAAAGAGCAGCAGACTGAGGGCCCGGGTGAGAGAGGCGCTGGGCGTGGATGTGACCCGCAAGGGCTGCGTGTGCCTGCCGGGGAAGTTCCTGCCTGTGCCCTGCAGCTGCCCACATAGCTCAGGTAAAGTCCTGATGGGATGGGAGACTTGTTCCTGCCCCTCCTAAGATCATCAGGCCCAGGGTGGGGTGAGGGAGCAGGGTGCCCCAGTTAATGATTATCTAGCCCTGCTCCAGAGCTCCCAGGTGACACTGAGTTCCACTGTTGGCCGATACCCCAAGGGGCAGAATCCAGAGGGACCTGACAAGAGTTTCCAGTAGAAATGAGTTGATGGGGATGGGGGTGCTGTAGTAAAGGTTTGGGGGCCAGACCCAAAGAACCAAGGACACCAGACATCTGATCAAGCCCTACTAAACCCCCTGGTCTTCTCTCCTGTCACCCCTTCCCCTCCATAGTCATACTGTGTCAGCTGCCGAATGATTCTTTTGCGAAGTTCTTGCCATCAGACTCCCAGCCTTGCTAATGCATGCTCTCTTCAAACAAGGGTGCTTAGCCCTCTTTCTTCACTCCCCATCTTTGTCATCCCAGAATCTAGAGGTGGTGTTCCAGGCTGCTCAGATAAAGAATGGGGCTGGGCCTGCTCTGTAGGGTGCCACTTCCTCTTTTCTCACTGAGACTTCCCAAGGGTAGCTCTGCTACAGGTCCCCGTGACGACGGGGAGGTGGCCCCCAGGATGTTGTGGCCTGAGATAACTCACTCTGGCCTATTCTTCCTCTGCTCTCATCCTGATCCCACTCTGGGTTGGGAATATGGACTACCCCCACTTGTGTGTGGTCTGGGATATAGCAACAAGTACAGAGCTTGTACGGAGAGTCTGCCCCCACGAGAATTTGATTTTGTGGGGACAATGAGCTCCTCTTAGGAGTGGGGTCTTTTTTGCCGTTGAGGATGGGGCCTTAAGTGATCCTGGTGGGGGAGCAGTAGGGGGCTTCTTGGTTGGGGGTATAAATAGCCCCTTCTTCTTTGAGAGGCCCTGGGGAGGACTTACCACCTGGTGCAAGGTAACTAGGAAAAAGCAGAAGTGTAAGGCTTGGTTGCCAGGTAAATAGAGCACAGCTGGACTCAGGGGAGGGGGCAGGTGTGCACAGTTGAGCTAACAAAGCCTGGGCTTCCCACAGGAAGTGCCAGGTCAGGAAGGAGGAGGCTGGGAATGGGTGCTGGGGGCACTCAGGGAGTCTTCCGTCACTGCGGGCCGTGCTGTGGTCTGTGCTTTTGTGTGCATCTTTGTGCAGATTCACATCACTGTGGGTATTTATTGCTCAGCTATTTTTGTTCCTGGAAGTCTGTGCAGAGAAGGAACTGCACGCTTTCTCTCTGGGGCCCAGGTTCCCCATCTATGTCCAGAACAGCAAATCCCCAGGGGTCTGTTGGGATGGGGCTAGCGTCCAGCACAAGAATCCCCCTGCACAGTGTTCCTGGTTCTTTACCTCTCAGGGAGCGGGTTGGTGACAGTTTTAGAGTTTCCTGGCTGTTTTGGTGGCAGTACTGAGGCAAGAAGGTGATGACAACAGACCCATAAGCCTGAGATCCCAGGTCTTCATAGACACACACACACACACACACACACACACACACACACACACACACTCTCCTAAGGAGATTGGAGCTTGGAGCTTGGATGGGATAATCCCAGATTGGTAGGAGATTAAACTAGGGGCAACAGTGGCTGGAGGATCTGTGTGGCTGTTACTGACCTTCTCTCCCCTACCAGCTGCTCACAGACCCAGAGATCTAGGGGCAGCCCTTGATGCAAGAGAATCACTTGAGGTAGAGTTTAGATGTGACCCAAGGTTAGGAATACCTGACTGAGACTGACTGGCATGATTGATTATAGGGACAGAGGGTCCAATCTGAGTAGGGGCTTTGTTGGTGGTGGGGGGGAGGATTCTTGTGGTTCTTTGTTGATACCATACAAAGTTTCCTAATGCTAAGTCACCAGGACTGAAGGAACCCGACTAGAGATCGCCTGGTCCAGTCACTTGATTCATAGATGAGGAAGTTGAGGCCACTCACTTGATTCATAGATGAGGAAGAGTGAAGGGCTTGCCCAAGGTCACACAGCTAGTGAGTGGCAGGACTGGTCCTGTACTCCAGGTCTCCTGACTCCTACTTCAGGGCCTCCTCTGGGCACACCTTCAGAATGAGCATGGATGACTTGTTTTAATTCCTGTGACACTGGAATTGGGACTGTGCCACTATCAGGTGGAGGGAGGGACCAGGTATGGTCCCAGTAGTCAAAGTCCTACATAGTTTTTTCAGAAACTGAACACTGGGGTGTCCTTCTCCTACCTTGCCAGTTTCTGTGATGCTCCCTGCCCTGAGTAAGGAAAGCAACCTGTGGGAGAAATACCAAGTCTTCTCTCCAACCAACAGATGGAAAGTGAAAACTGGGCATTTCTCCATTCTCACTGAAGACCAAACAAAGGGCAATGCTGTGGAGGTCAGGGAGGATACAGTGCAGGAGGACTTAAGTGTCAGAGATACTGCAAAGCAGCCTGGGACAGTCTCTGCTTCCTCAGGGCAGTCTTGGCTATCCAGACACAAGGATTTGCTCTGGAGGAGGGGGATGCAGAAGGCATAGTGTGGTCCTTGCAGGGCTGCCTCAGCACACCTCCCTCCCGGACCGGGAAGCTTTCCTGGGCCCCTCCCCCAACTCCCAGCCCCCACAAAATCCTCCACCCCCCAGCATACCCAGTTCCCACCCCCCCACACACACTCCTCCGTGTGTGTGAAGCAGCAGAAGTGATGACGTAACCACGGTCGCCAGGGCAACGGGGACGGATAAATCAGGCTGAGTGGGCGGTTGCCATGGTGCACATTCTCCCGTTGCCACGGAGACTGGGCATCTGCTCCCTTTGTGCTGCCAGAGTGCCTTCCCCCTGGGGTCAAGGGGTATAGGGGGGTAGAAAGAGAGGTAGACACACCTCCAGGGGTCCGAAGAAATTCTGGGCCTCTGTGGGGTCTTCCTCAGTTTAGAATTTCACCTTGGCACTTTTCCATGGGGTTGTCTCTGTTGTTGCTACTTTGTAGAATGCAGGCAGTCTGGCTGAGTAACCCCTTGGACGGGTTATTAACCGCAGGACCTGCTTTAGGGGCAGGCCTTCTTCCTCCCTAAGGAGGGCGGCACCTATTCCTGGCCCAGGCATCCAGGACCAACTTGTGCCTGGAGCTTTGCCCCATGGGCATCTTCCTTCACATCCTCGCTCCACTACCTCTAATCCCCTCAGGTCCTAATCTCAGGGGAGATTAGGCCCTGTCCCTCTTTCCCAGCAGAAAAGCCAGGGTCTGGGGCTTGCTCCCTTTGGCCTCTCTGCAGGTCCTGGCCTGGGGAGGACTTTCAGGTGTTCAAGACCTTTTCTTTTCTCCTTTAGATGAACAGGCCGATCCAGGTCAAGCCAGCCGACAGCGAGAGCCGAGGAGGTAGGTTCTGAACTTGCAGACCTGGTTCCTCTCCTTCCACCTCAGGCCCCGGGCTTGGAGAAGCTGAGGGACAGCATCTCTTGAGGAAGAAAGCCTGACAATTCTAGAGCTACCAGTCAGGCGGGGAACAGGAGTCAGGGTGACTGTAAGTGTGGGATCCAACCCACTGTAGGGATGAAAAATCTAGGCCCTGGTACATACAAATCCTTCAGAGTTGGGGTGACCATTTATCTGCCTGTACCCTCTTCCCCATCCAGTTCTCCCTTTACCTTAGAGCCCTGGTCCCCATGTGGGAGAAGTAGTATCAGCAGCTCTGGGGAGAAGACTAGAAGGTAAAACAGCTGAGAAAGCTGCCAAGAGGCCTTGAACATGCCCCTCCCCCTGTGTCCTACCCCCTAGAAGACCGGAAGCTCTTTGTGGGGATGCTAGGGAAGCAGCAGACAGATGAAGATGTCCGCAAGATGTTCGAGCCTTTTGGGACCATAGACGAGTGCACTGTGCTCCGGGGACCAGATGGCACCAGCAAAGGTAGCCTACCCATGGCCTCTCTGGCAGTGCCTTTAACCTTCCTGTCTCTGCCCACTAGTTTCCTAGCAGTCAGCAGCCCCCTGCAGTGGCCCTTAAAGTGCATACTTACCCCTTTCCTCTTCCATCTCAGGCTGTGCCTTCGTGAAGTTCCAGACCCACGCCGAGGCCCAGGCAGCCATCAATACCCTTCACAGTAGCCGAACACTGCCGGTGAGCCTGCTCTCCTCTCCCAGACCCTCACGTCCATTGGGCCGGCCTGCCCCTGGCATAGTGTGGGAGCTTACTCCTGACAGAACTTCTAATTCATTGAAAAACAGGGTTCTGGCAGGAGAGATCCAAGGCATGTGCACATGTCCAAAACATTTCCCCATCTTTCCTCTCCTGTATGACTCATCTTCAATCCAAATCCTGTTCACCCTCCTTTCCTGCTTCCTCCATTCCTCAGCGCTCTTTCCATTTCCTGTCTCATCCTGCCTCTCATGGCCCCTTCACCTCTTGAACCCTTGCTTTTTCCCTCCTGCGTGTTGACTCTGATACCCCTACTCTTTAGCACTGGGTGAAGTCCGTGGACTCTGGGAGCTCCCCAGCAGAACAGACCTCTACATCAGAACTCGTTGGCCTGAAGGATGTGGGTTTTCCTTAATTTCGAGTTCTCTAGCAGAGGCTGGGCAAGCACCAAGTGCAGACTGGGTAGCAAGGACCCAGGAGGGCAAGGGCAAGGAGGCAGAATGGGGTAGAGAACTGCTTTAAATGACCCGAGGCCCCTTCCAGCTCTGAGCATCTAAGATTCTACAACTCTTGCACATGTTCCAATCTGGTTTTTATTTTGCTCAGGGAAGTATTAAAATTTGTGGTTGTGTCCACCAACCACATGCCAAAGCCATAGGCATCATGGTGGGACTTGTGAGAGAGTTGGGGCAGCTCCAAGGCAAGATTAAATAGTTGCTGTGGCTGACCCACTGGTTGGGGGAGATTTCCAGCTGAGCCCTCATGGAGAAGCCAGTGATGCCCTCCCCAGTCCAGCAGGCCTTCCACTTTTTGAGCACATGCCTTCACTTTTCATGTCTGTCTAGTCTTTTGTATGCCCCAGCACAGAGAGAGGGTGGGGTTAAAATCTTTCCATTTGATGTGGGCAAAATGGTGACTCTTTTCCCAAAAGGTCCAGGCTATGGGGGTTGGGGGGGGATGTGGCCAGGAACTAAGGGTCATGGGGAGAGGAAATGCTGATCTGTCCTTCTGTGCATGGGGGGGCCCACATCTAGGGTGCCTCATCTAGCCTGGTGGTGAAGTTTGCTGACACAGAGAAGGAGCGAGGTCTCCGCCGAATGCAGCAGGTGGCCACCCAGCTGGGCATGTTCAGCCCCATCGCCCTCCAGTTTGGAGCCTACAGTGCTTACACCCAGGCTGTAAGCACTGTCCTGAGTACTCCCTTGTTTGAGTGTCCCTCCAGCCTTGTGTCCCACTCCTCTCCCAGTACCAAGGCCCAGGTTGGGAGGGAGTGAGGCCAAGGGTATGGGGCCTGGCCCCATTCTCTTCTCTTCCCACCCCAGCTGATGCAGCAGCAGGCAGCCCTGGTAGCGGCTCACAGTGCCTACCTCAGCCCCATGGCCACCATGGCTGCCGTGCAGATGCAGCACATGGCCGCCATCAATGCCAATGGCCTCATCGCCACCCCCATCACCCCATCCTCAGGTAAGACAGGGATGGGTCAGGCATGAACAGGGCAGGAGCAGGAGTTAAGGGATGGTGGGGATAGAGGTGGGAAGCCACATGATCCAGAAGAGGATCAAGAGTCCGAGTGGCCTGCTTGCTCCCATCTGCTCTCGCTGACTTGCCGACTGGTTCTTTGCATCTATGTCTGCTTCTCTGCCCTACCTGTCACTTTCTCCTCCCCAGGAACCAGCACCCCTCCTGCCATCGCTGCCACGCCTGTCTCTGCCATCCCTGCTGCCCTGGGCGTCAATGGCTACAGCCCGGTGCCCACCCAGCCCACTGGGCAGCCTGCCCCTGATGCTCTGTATCCCAATGGGGTTCACCCCTACCCAGGTGGGGCTCCCTGCCTGCCTATCTTTCCCCAAGCAACCATCTAGGGCCTACACCCACTGGTGGCAGCCATGACATACCTTCCCTCCCCAGCCTCAGGGTTCAAGGTGCTTTTTCCTGCTCTTGTCTTGGGCAGAGATGCTCCTTCCATTCTGCGGGGGATACCGAGGCTTACAGAGACAAACCAATTTGCCTAGGGTTGCCAGCCAAGCATGAACTCAAGTCCTCCTAACATAGGGCTCTTTCCCTTCCCACTGTCATGTTTACTTCCCCTTCTCACCTCACATTCCTGCCGGGGGAGGCTCTCCCCATGTGGATCCTCCACTCACAGAGGTGCTGTTGGGGCTCCTGCTGTGCCGCAGTCTCACACCCGTGTTGCTCTCTCCAGCCCAGAGCCCTGCAGCCCCCGTGGACCCTCTGCAGCAGGCATATGCAGGGATGCAGCACTACACAGGTGAGCCCTTTCCCCCCAGCCTGGGGCCCTGACCAGTGGGATGAGTGGCAAGAGGAAAAGAGGCTGGGTTTTTTAATTGCCTGCCAGTCACCCCTTTCAGGCTTCAATAGGCCATACCCACGAGCATGAATCTTTAGGAGCAAAACACTCAGGGGCCTGGGACAGCTCCTTCTCTGACAACCCACAGCCCTGTGGATTTCACTGGCATGGGTAAGGGAGAGGGACAGGCCTGATTGGAGGATTTATGCAAGCCCCATTTGTTCTCTATTCTCCCCAACCCAGCAGCCTACCCAGCAGCCTACAGCCTGGTTGCACCTGCCTTTCCACAGCCTCCAGCCCTGGTTGCCCAACAGCCTCCTCCACCACCCCAACAGCAGCAACAACAGCAGCAGCAACAGCAGCAGCAACGAGAAGGTGCCACCAGGGTCAGGGTCCTCACAGCCGTGAGCCTTGAGGAATAGGAGACCCCGGTTGTGGGCTGATGGACTCCCAATTGCCCTCGGCCAAGCCCAGTTCTTGTCCTGCAGTGGAAAGGCAGTGGCTGGAGCCCTGGCTCACACTGCTGGTGGCTGGTGCCCCCAGGACAGGCTTGGAAGGTGCCCCCAAGACAGGCTTCTCCTGAGATCCTGCGCACCAGTATGTATCTGCCAATCACTGAGCTCTCCTATCTACTGCCACTCAGGCCCTGATGGCTGCAACATCTTCATCTACCACCTGCCACAGGAGTTCACAGACTCAGAGATCCTCCAGATGTTTGTCCCCTTTGGTCACGTCATTTCAGCCAAAGTCTTTGTTGACCGGGCAACCAATCAGAGCAAATGTTTTGGTAAGAATAGCATGATCCAAAAGACAAAGTATGGTTTTGTGTGTGTGTGTGTGTGTGCATAGGTGTGTGCAGTGCATGTACATAACTCCAAATTAGGACAAAGTCTCATACATTTGAGGGCATTTATGTCACAAAAGACAGAGTATTTGAAATTTTGAGTGTCCAGGGGCACAAAAGAGCAATCTCTGACACATTTAGCACATCTTCCTGCAGATTAGCACAGCTTCGTCTTTTCCCCCTAAGATCCAGCCTTGGGGTCAGGGATTCAGTGATAGAACAGATGGACAGCACACATGAGCCCTGGGATCCCCAGCATCAAAACAAAACAAAAAGTTCCAGCTGGATTTATTTACTTTTATACTGGGAATCAAACTTAGGATCTTGTGCCTACCAGGCAGGTACTTATGCTGCTGAGCTATATCCCTGGCTTTGAATTTATGTTTTAAGAAGTCTGAAACAGGCTCAGTTTAGGTGTGACTGGTTTTTTAAAGGGAGAGGGTTTTATTTGCCTTCACAGTTTTGAAAGGCTGCTTCAAAAACCATTTAGGCATCAGGCATTGTGGTGCATGTCTGTAATCCTAGCACTTGGGAGGCTAAAGGCAGGAGGATTGCCATGAGATGGAGCTAATCCAGGGCTCCATAGTGAGTTCAAGGAAATGCTTGGACTATACAGTGAGACCAGTCTCAAAAATGCAAAACAAAACAACAAAAACCATCTAAAGGTCTAGAAGTGTTTTCAAAAAGTAGGTTCAGAGCTCTGCAGGCTGAACCTACTTTGCAGGGGACCAACCCTGCAAAGAATGCTGCAAGAACGTTGCGTTTAGTTTTTGTGAGGGGCTGAACTACACTCAATTTCTCCTTAATCCGTCAATTAGCAAGTTCCTTCTGAATGCTTACGATGTGCCAGGCACTGTCAGGGACACCTCCTTCAGATGGTGCTGGGAAACTGGAGAACATGTCCCCAACCCCAAGCACAGGAGAGTAGGCTGGGGCTGGGCCTGATGCCCCTCTCACCTCAGGCTTTGTGAGTTTCGACAATCCAGCCAGTGCACAGGCTGCCATCCAGGCCATGAATGGCTTCCAGATCGGTATGAAGCGCCTCAAAGTCCAGCTAAAGCGGCCTAAAGATGCCAACCGGCCCTACTAAGGGCCCCAGGTGGGTGCTGCTCCTATCTTGTCCCCTTCCTCTCCAGCCCACCCCTCTATGTTGTAGCCAGGGCCCAGGAGTGCCCCATACCCACACCCTAGGACACCCATTCCCACCTGACGGCATGAGATCCAGCATCTGGGGTGGCTTCCTTACCTGTTGGTGGGCCATGTTTCTCTTACACACACACACACACACACACACACACACACACACACACACTCACACACACTGTGACCCTACAACCAAATCTGTATCTATCTATGTCCACTTCCAGATCTTTCACAATATCTGGTCTTGATGTCTTATTTGTCTGGTCAATGTCCATGTTTCTGTGTCTCTTTGTTTTCCTTTGGGTTGGATGGAATTAGGGAGTAGGATTTGGGGAACAAGGATTTGGTTTAGGATACTGGAGGGTCTTAGAATTGCTTGCTCCTGGAATCTGTTTGTCTGAGAAATCGATACACCAGGTCCTTGAACTTTGGGTGATTTTCTCAATGCAGCAGTGAATTCTGGGCAGAAGAGAGTACAGGAGAGAATGGGGGAGGCTACCTCCGGGCCCCTTGGGAGTCACTTTGGTTTAGGTGAAGGAGGTTGGAATGTTATATCATCTGTGAATCTTATCAGGTCCCTTCTACCCCTTGCTGGCCACCATCCCAAACTTAGGGCCACAGATCCATGAGCCTTGTGTATTTTTGTGTTTAATATCCTATGGGCCAAACCCCTGAAAAAACACAACCCAAGAACAATACCCACATTTCTGTTTCTCCCCTTTCCCCCCAATCCTGGCTGCTTAACTGCCCCCCACCCTGGGGGCCCCCCAGCCCAGGGCCTGTGTCCATTGTCGGCTGAAGCCCCCATCCCCGGACCCCTGCTCCGGGCCCCTGTAAGTTGCATGGAACGAGCGTGTTGTCTTTGGAGCCGATTGTTTGTTATTTGGGGAGGGGCCGCGGAGGGAAGCGCCCCCCAGCCCAGGGTCAGGGCCGGGGGCAGCTCGCGGGACGTGCTTGGTCAACAGTGGTTGGTGACTGTGGTTTGTGTTCTGTGCATTTCTCTCTCGCTTTCTTTGTTCCTTTCCAAAGAGGAATGAGGTACTACCTAAGGTTGGGGGTGGTCTCACCATGAGACTCCCTCCCTAAGCCCAGGCCTGGGCCCGATGCAGCCTTCTCTGCAGATGTTCCCTCTCTCTCTCTCTCTTTTTTTTTTTTTTGCCTTTTTCCTTTTTATCGGTACCAGGGATCGAACTCACGACTGCCTGCTTGCAAGGCAGGCACTTATGCCGCTGAGCTAAATCCCCAGCCCCGATGTTCCCTCTCTTTTTCCGGGTGTCTGTCTCATAATGCACCCCTCCTTCCTTCTTTCAGTCCCTTCTGCCTGCCTGTTTGTTGCATTTCTTTGCCTCTTTCCTAAGTCTGTATCTTAGTCTTTGTCTGTCTCCTGGGCTGTTTGGTTTTTCTTCCTAACAGTTTCCCTCCCTGTCTCTGTCCTGCCCTCTGCTCTCATATGACTGGTGGTGGTAGGGGGTGGTTCCTGTATATGAGCGGAGGGCTTTCTGATGACCTGCCTTCTACAGGCAGCCCAATCTTGGATGCTGTCTGTCAACACCCCAGCCACCTGCCCTCCCCAAGACGAGCACTGACGGTCATCTTCCCCAGGCTTCACTGTGTTTCCTTCCTTTGCAGGTCTGGAGGTAGCAGTGGAAGGGGCGCCTACACCCTCTTCCCAGGACTAGCCCCAGGCCTCTCTGCACATCTTCCCTGGGCCTTGATTGGGCTCCAGGGCAAAAGCTGCTTCATGGCCTTCGGGGTATAGGACATCGCCCCACCTCACCACCCGCCTCTCTGAAGGGCCGTGGCTTTGTTTCCCTGGCTCCTCGGGCCTGTTTCCTCCCAGGCGCTCTTTTGGCCTTTGTGAGGGAGCAAGGAATAGGCTTGCGGGTTCCGGGGTTTTTGCCTTCTGCTAGGGCTCCTGTGGTGGGTTTTGTACCCAGTGCCCACTCTCCCCATGAGCCTGCCCCCACTCCAGCCTCTTTCCCCAAGTAGGGGCTTCTCAGAAGCTGGCTCTCACACCTCCTCCACCCTTCTTTAGAGGTAGGATATCCCCTGAACCCTGGGCTCACAGCCCTAAAACTCACTGCCTCCCCCAAGGGCCCCCTCCAAGGAGGGTGTTCAGGGAGCCCTGAGGGCTGCCTCTCTGCCAGTCAGCCACAGAGACCCTCCTCCTTTCATGAGGAAAAGACCTCCCTGAACCCTTAAAAATGTTTACAGTCTCTGCTGGCCCCCTCCATGTAAATACCACGACCACCCGTGCGTTATCCAGCCCACCTGGCCCGGCCTGGCCTGGACGCTGCCATCCCTCTTTCTGGGAGTTTAGACAATGTTACCCTTGGACTTCTTTCTCACTCTCTTGATTTCTCCCTTTGGTTTGGGGGGTGGGGTGTGATTGGGTATTGGGGAAAAGGGTGTGGGGAGGGACAGATGGGTTTATTACCTGATCATTTTCTTTAGGAAAAGGTTTTAGGGAAAGGAAAGTGGGTAGGGGTGGGAGGGGGAAGGGGAGGCTGGGGAGTCAGTTTCAGACAGTTCTCTATGCTTAACTTATTTATTTATTGCATTTTACTTTTAAAGAGTTTGTCTTTTCTGTCTAAATAAAGTTTAAAAGCATCAAATAAAGTCTTGAAAGGCTGAGGGAAGGGTGTTGTTCACACTGGGGATGGGGAAGGACGGAGGGAAGCAGCGAATGAAGTTTGGGAGGAAATTACCAGCGAGGGCACAACCCTTGCTCTGGAGCAGTGTCCAGCACTTGCTTATGGCTTCATGATCTTATTCTGCTTATCTCTGGGGCTTCATCCAGAGTTGAGCGTGGGGTAAGAGACCCTGGGCAGGCCTCTCTCAGTATCCAGCCATGTCCCTCTGAAGGCATGAGCCTTGAAGTCTACATTCTGGACACGTGTACGCCTAGCCAGTGGGGATGTGTGGTTGGTTGTAGCCCATCATGTATTAACCACTGTTCCGTATGAGATTCTGTTCTAGGCCTTTAATAATGTGCATTTCTACACTTAACCTCACAAAAGCCCTGTGGGGCAGGACATAAATATAAAGACAGGGAAAAGGAGGCTTTGCGAGTTGGCCAACTTAGCCCTTCCCAAAGCCAGTATGGGAAGGCTGGAGGAGCTGAGTCCAGTTTGCCAGACCACAAGGTCCATAAGGCTGTTGTTTCACCTTTTCTCTGACTAGAGGTACGAGTCCCAAGAGTCCCAAGTAGGCTAAAGCAATGCTACCATCAGGTAGAAGGTAGACAGTGCCAGCCCGTCTGGTTTCTGGATTCTTCTCTGTGAGCTGCTCTGGGGCTAGCCTCAGGAGCACGTAGGTGGATTCTCTTGACCTCACAGGGCACAGACCACTTGCTTAGTAGCTACCTGCTACCCTAGCCCTCTTAGAAACTTCTTACCTACCAGTTCTGATCTGGTGTAGGCCAGTTCACAAAAACACAACCATGAGTAAGTTCAAACACACCCCACCTCTACTACTTCTGCCTCCTCTAAGAACTTCCTGTAGGTAAAAAGAGAAACAAAACATTAAGTACTATGGAGATGTATCTATGGACACAGTAAGGGGAAACAAAACAAAACTCTGGAGTAGTAATGGATCAGGAATGGGACCTTACTCAGAAAGAGAACCTAGGCAGGATTCTTAGCAAAATACAAAGCATCTGGAATTTGTATCATTTGTGTGTGCAAGTCAGAGATGGGAGGAAGAGCGCACAAGTGACAGCACAGGCATGAGTATTAAAACATCAGGAGGAGCTGGGGATTTAGCTTAGTGGCATAAATGCCTGCCTTGCAAGCAGGCAGTCATGAGTTCGATCCCTGGTATCGATAAAGACGAAAAAAAGACAAAAAAAAAAAAGCACATCAGGAACGTCCCCTTGAGAATGCTGTCTCAGAACAGTCTGTGGATCTAAACAGATATGTGGTTTCAGACCAAGAGCATCTCACAGCGTGTCTGTCTTTGTATTTTCTCTCAGGGTGTGGAGAATAGTGAGGGAGTGGACAGCCAGGAAACTTCCTTCTTGGTCTCTTTCCAGACCTCAGGCAGGGGGGCGGGGGGAGCAGCCCTCACACAAATACGGCTACTTACATGTTTCTCCTGCTGTAATAATCAAGCTATGCTCAAATGTTAATGGCAGCACAGAGAGAAGGAAAATGGTTTCCTAACACAGAAGAGAGGAGCTGGCAAGTTAGTAACAGGGATGGGGGAAAACTTTTAATTGTAAAGCCAAAAACAAAAATATTCACGGTCAGGAAGACCAAAGTGATGAAAACACAGCAGGAGAGAAAAAGCCCTGAGAATAATTCCTTCATTGTGTTTTATTCCCTTTCTATATACTTAAAGCTTTCAAACGTGCATATACAATGTGAGGTGTCTCCATTTCCTTTGGGCTTAGGCCTTGCTGGCTTGCCAGGTACGGCCCAAGCTTGTGTTGTCTTTTATTTCTCTTGCTAAAATTTCAAAGCTTTTCTTAGCTCTGGCTTCTAGTATTTGTGACTGAAGGAGTTCCCGCTCACAGCCACACCTTGTTCTCTTTCCCAGATCTGAGAAGTTGAACAGCCCTGACCCAAGCTCCTGGTTCCCATAAAACTCTCACACACTAGTTCCTCAGTCTGCTTTACCAAGGAGTCAGCTTTCTCTTGTTCCCCATAAATGGAGTTCTCTGCCAATGTATTGCATCCTCTCACCTGCTGGATAAAAATGACTCCCAGCTATGAATTCCTAGCCTAATTTTTTTCCTAAGCTAAATTTTAGAATTACTTTTTCTCTTAATCTTTCTCATTGGTAAACATCCCACTATGTACCCAATTCAGTCCCAAGTTTGGATTACACTCTTCCTCCCATATTTAATATCCAATCTGGCTGCAAAGTCCTACTGTGTCTACATCTACAGTGTTCTTAGTCATCTATCTCAGCTGGTGCCTTCACTGCTGTCCACACTGTCCAAATCCTGCTCCTCCCCAACCCGCCCAACGGGCTGCCGAAGCCTCATCCGTCTTATTTCTTCTCTTGCTTTCCTACAACCTGTTTGCCAAACAAGCTGGAGTTAACTGTAAAAGTTAATTCACTAGCATTTACTGTCTATCTCCTCTGCCTTGTTCAGTAGGGCCTAGCACACTAAAAGTTACTTAGTAAACGATTGAGAAACTACCATTGGACATCTAGACTGGATTGTACAGATGAAACTTGTGTTGAAACCGGAGGAGTCCAAAACTAAATCCTTTTCTTCTCCAAAATCTCTGCACTATTTCTTGAGCCACACAGATGTAAAGCCTTAGGAGTCTTTTACTCCTCTCACATAATTCAATGTCATTAAATCACGAAAAATTTCACCTCCACAGCTCTTCTCATCTGTTTCCTTCCCCTCAATTTTCATTGCTTCCACTAACTGAACAATCATTGCAATCTAACTGACCCTTTTCTGTAGTCTGAAACATCAATCTTTCTAAACTGCACCTGATAAAAAACCTTTTTTACTGCTTCCTCTAACACAGAGCACCTTCCTGGCATCAAATTTCTTTAAAGCTTCACTTTTTTCTTTATCCTACACATGGCCTAAGTTCTGCTTGAATAGGACCATTCATTTTTCCCTGGACAAGGCAGATCCTTCTCACCTCTTTTTCTTTCTCATTAGTATAATGCCTAACAAAACTGACTAAGTGTTAGATGCCTGCTTGCTGAGCTCCAGCTCATCTTAAGCGATTCACCTTAAATACGGTACCATTTTCTTCACAGATTTTTCTTTCTTCCTTCCTTTCTTTTTTTTTGGGGGGGGGGGGTACCAGGGAGTGAACTCATGACCTTGCGCTTGCCAGGCAGGTGCTTACACTGCTGGTCACAAAGATTTTCATCATGCCCTCACATGTCTCTCCCTCTCCTTTTCTAGTTCTTTCAGCACTGAATATTCCACTGCTGTTTATCATGGTCATTTGTAAGTGTCTCCTTCTGTGGGACTGTAAGTGAGCAGCACATTTACCTCTGATGTATATCTGTAGCAGTATCTAACACAAAGCCTCACACATGGTAGATAACTAGTAAGTGTCTGTTGACTTTAACTTCTGTAACTGTGATCCTATAATCCACTGTCTCTATGGATTCTTTCCTTGTTAAACAAAAAAGCTTCCCATATCATAGTAATATTCATCAGATTCCAGTACTCAGTGCTAGTTGCTGGGTGAATGAGGCCATGAATAATGTCCTCCTCCGAATGTCAAACTGATTCTTGCTCTTATAGTCATCAACTAAAGAACAAAACCCTGAGGAACACATCGATCACAGGTCATAAACATAGTAAGAATGTGAAGATTTAAAAGAACAATTTAAAAGTGTCTGATCCACTACAAATGTGAGGTTTTCAGATCCTGCCCATCAAGTTAAGTACAGAGAGGAGAAGGTAAACAGGCCCAGCACAGAGATGCCTCTGTAAAAGTGAAGGCCTGCGGAGGACCACCCTTGTTATGAGGGTGCAGGCACAAGGTGGGACTACTCCCTACCAGAGCAATTAGTAGTGCCTGGGCATTCTTTAGAGGGGACAAGTTTTCACTCTCAGATCTCCAAGAGAGAGTTTTCTGAGTTATAGAGAAGTGAAAAAGCACATAGGTGTTGCTGAGAGGACAGTGCTGAGATCTGTCTGGAGGGCTTTCTTAGGCTTTATCTGTATTCAGCTGGGAAAGGAGTCCTGTAACTAAATGGACTTTGTGACAGGTGGTAGCCAGGAGGGGCAGGCTCCATCCACTCTGAGAACTGAGGGAGAAGAGGTTTCCAAGCAGCCACTGAGGACAGGGCTGAAGTAGGGACCTCCCTCGTTTTCTCCTTTCCCTGCCCTTCCCAGCTTCTGCCCCACAAGCCACTGAGGGAAACTGCTTAGAGTTCCTGCTCATTTTCAGGTTGACTGTTCTAACTCAAAGGTTTATTTTTACTTCCTCCCATACACCCCCAAAGGATTTTTATTTTAGGAAACAAAAGAACTGTTTCATCAATAAATCAATTTATTTAAAAGAATATGTTACAATTAATTACACTAAGTGACGTTACCAAACAATTTTAGAGTGGTTAGCTCTAGAACAAGGAACGAAAGAAACACTGTTAGCCATTATACGTCTGTGTATTTTCTCTTCACATTTTTTAAATCACAAATAAAAAATACAAGATATTGCAGTGAAAATACAATTAGAGTTTCTCTCAAATAAATTAAAAGTGTGCATGACCTGGGAAAAATTGACGCCCAGCTCACCAGCTTAAAGGGGGTATGATAGAAAATTGCTAAGGTTAGCAGTTGGCCAAGTGCCTCACCCTACATCACTCCCCTCTTCAGTTCTGTTTCTCCCCAGGGCTCTAACTTTCAACACGCTTGGGGTTATTGCTGAGGAGTGAACTGCTGCTGTGCTGGCATGATATATAGTCAGGATTAGGGGAAAGAACCACAGGCAGGACAGGAAGGTGAGGGCCATAGAAGCACCCCATTGCCTGCATCTCCCTCCTCCCTCTCTGAGCAGTAATCAGCCACACACTCCCTCCCACAGGAAGCCAGTGTGACCCAGTGAAGCTGGTGAAGAACAGTAGTATGCTGAGATCTCCTGCTACATCAGTTCAGCCAGACAGTGTAACAGACAGAGAGGAGGGCACAGTGGTGCTCCAGATCTGGCAACTTCAGGTTACCTAGAAGCAGTTCCCTTTAAGAAAACTGCTGCTTAGGAGCCAGACCTGTAGTTGGCAAATTTGAGATGAGACAGAATTTGTCTGTCACACCTGTCAGTGCCCTGGTCACTGGGTTTGGAGCTATGAGAGATAACTCAAAACGACTGGCCTGGGTAACTAAAGGATAAAATGCAATGGGCCAGCATGAGGACATTGGAATATTTATCTAATTCCTCACAGTGAAAGCATATTTAGGCCTGGAGCCATCCTGTGCAGATTTTAGGGCAAGGGGAGGCTAGAAAGATAATCAAGTGAAAGTATGAAAAGCAGAGAACTCAAAGTATGGGCCAAAGGAGCCTTTCTATAGAGACAAGCTCCTCGGGGTCTCAATTTTCTCTTGTTCCATAAAAACTCTAAGCTTTTGCCCCACAGGACAGAAATCCAGAGCGGAGGGGATGACAGGGAGAAACCAGGAAGATCCTGCTGACTTTGCTGGGATGAAGCTGGCAAGCAGGGAGGCCCTCCTGTTTCAGAGTCAAACTGTAAAAGACTGGGTAGGTGTCTCCCTGGGCAGAAGCTAGGACTAAGGAAAGTAGCAGGGATTACAGAAACAAAGTACAAGGGATGAGGGGGAAGTAGAGTCACACCTAACACTGCTTCATGCAAAGAAGAGCTTGATCCTATGGACTTCCACTGCCACAATGACCTCTGCCTCCACTGCGGGAGGCCTGGTGTGAGAAAGGAAAAGGCACCACATCCTACAGAGTCTCCCTCCTTGCTGCAGCTTGGTGCTTTGTTAGTGGCACGGCTTCCAGTAGAAGCCGGTCCTAAGCAGATCCTGCCAATAGGTCCACTATCTATGGAGTCCCTCATTCAATCCCCAAACACCAAGTGGATGTTATTCAAGAAAAGGAACACAGCACCATGCAGCCACTCTAGGGGCCTCCAACTCCTCATGTCTCATATCCAGAGGCTGGCACTTGGTCTGTCATTGCAGACTCCAGGGCCTGTCATTCCTCTCCCACCATGAGTGTGTGGGGATGCACTGTCGCTGTTTTTATTTTCTGAACAAAGCTAGTTCAAAGGCCTCTTCAGCTTGGAGTGGAAAATCAACCTATTTTCTTTTTAAGGTCCTTTGGCTCATTATTAAATTCATTTAAGCCAAAAGGAGTTGATCCTGTATTAAATAAAGCCTTCAAAGCAGGGATTACCCTCTTCAATGATAAACATTCAGCATTCTAGTGTTTTGAAATCTGAGATTCTTCCTAGATTGGATGTGAAGAAGTAGAGAGGATAGGATGTTTTATGTGATTTCACACTGCCCTGGTGGCCTATGGCCACTAGGATAACAGTGAGAAATGAAAGAAAGATGGCCTCACAATGATCTGCAAAACAAGCTACAAAATAGTAACTTCAAACCAATCCAACACTGCTCAATGGAGCAGACTACAACCAATTCTGACTGCCTCCCAACTAGAAAAGGCAGAAGAGAAGATGAAAGGGAGCAAAGAAAAAAAACACAAACAAAACAAAAAACGGTTCAAAGATATGTTTCAGTGGCACCTGAGCTGGACTTAGTGTTCCTTATGCAATGGATACCAAGCTCAGAGTCTGGGAATGTTGCCTTATGCATCAGCCCTGGCCTCTGATCCTGGGACGTAGCTTGTATGTCTCAAAAGGTCTATCTGCAAGGTCAGATGAGCAACGGTTTGAGGAATACAAAAGTTTTCCTTGAGTCTCCTTTTAAACAGAAGGTGGAGATGTCACTTAAATTGACCACATTTCCACTTCTTCCTGGGTCCTCACTGGCTCAGGCAGGGCTATGGCTTGGTTGGCACAGACCACAGACCTAAGTTTCCCTAAGGTCTTGAGGATACTGTGAGGTCCTTCCCCAATACTGCTGTTTAAGGATGTTACATAAACTGTAATAGTTATGGGTGGTTCCAGTTCAGGAATGGAGTAGGTAAAGTCTTATGTACACAAGGTATCACTTCGTTTCTTTTCTCTCTGCAAATCTAACCTTTGTGCCTAACATATCAGCTTTACTCTGGTCCCTAATGCCACCCCTGCTGCAGAAAAGGCAAGATCAGCAATTACTACCATGAAGTGTTCTGGGTTCTTGCAGCATCAACTTCTTAAGCCCATGCTCAACTCCACTCTGGGCAGCTGAGGAAAAACATACCAGAGGCCCCAAGGAAGCATGAAGGAGTACAGAATAAGCCAGGAAGCCGTAAGTGGGACAGGGATGGACCAGGAAACTGTCTTTAAAATCAAGAGACGACACCAAGTCTTCAGATTCTCTCTCTGTAGATCTCAGCCTTGTGCCCATGAGAAACACCCATTTCTCCTCCCTGTGTCCTCTTGGAAGATAAAGACACTACACTCCTTGCTCCTCAGACTCGACAGCAACCCATGAGCCAGAAACTGCACTCAATACAAAAAAGGGGGAAAAACCCAAGCAGGTTGTAAACTTTTCGAGTCCTTCATGAGGAGAGGTATTTTTCCTGTAATTTTTTTTTTTCCTTTTTAAAGTTTGTTTCAAAATAAAGAATGAGAGAGAGGGGTCATGAATTCTAGTGAAAGGTGTGTAAAAACACAAGCTAAAAAAGGTACTGCCATCAATATGAAATTTAAAAAGAAATATATATATGTATATACGTGCAGCTAATTTGTGTATATATAATTTTTTACATACATACATATATATGTCTGAACAGTGCAAATGGATGAAGTTCATAGTTCCAGTTTTGAAAATATACAAGGAGTGTCTGTTGGTACGAGGCCCAGGAAAATGGATAAAGATACCTTTGGTGAGTTGGTTGGGCTTATTTCTTTTCCTATCTTATCTCAGTGGACTTCTGGTACTGACCAATCTGTTCTCTACCAGCTCAATTCCAGAGGGAGTTATTAATAATATTTAATTTAGGGCATCTGAATGTAATGACTTTTTTCTTTTCTGTTAATGGTTACTCTGTCTGACAAGGGAGATGAAAGGGATAAGAGGATGATGGTGAAAAAGGAAGGGAATAAGGAAAGGCTAGGTGGCCACATCTCTCTGCTGTGACCTCGCCATCTGGAAAATGTTCTGAAAGGGAAAAAAAAAAAAGTTATTGGGAAGCCGTCTCTCCTCTGATCTGGAGACAATCCTCAAATAAAAGCTAAAATGATATGACTGGATGACTCTATCTGGCCTCTTCCCTTGACAAGACTTCCCACCACGAATCATAGCCTTTCAGAACTGGAAGGATGTCGAATATTAATCACCCAGCTAAGTCTTCCTGTTTTACAGGAAAGAAAAGTCAGACTTAAGGAGACTGATTTAGCCAAACTATAGAGTACACGGAGACTTGGATGTGATTCCTAGAGTCCAATTTTTTTATCATACTAAAAAATATAAATTTTCATGTTTCTAACTTCACTTCTTTATCCACTAATTTTCTTTGACAACCAACAGCTAATTATTTATAATCGTTAAATTCTGTTCTAGCACCTGTCATAACAAAAACTTTCCCCTGCATACACATTCTTGGTTAGTCTAGAACAGTGATGGCAAACCTTGTAGAGCTTTCAATGATACAAACAGCCCATGTGTGTCATAGGTTTGCCACCACTAGTCTAGAAGGACTCTGTCATCATCCATCCAGCCAGATGGCTAAAACTGAGGGAGGACAGAGACCCAAACAAACAAAACAAAACAACCCAACAATAGTCAGAAGAGGGTCCATGAAATCATGAGGATAGAAGAGCCTGTAGCCAAAGTCCACCCTCTAGACAAGGGAGGAAGCTAGGCTTTTTTGCACAGCCCATTCACCATCCAGAAGCCAGCCCCGCAGGAAGAACGTCCTGGCTCACATGAGATAACCAGTTTCTAACTAATATTCCTAGAAAGACAGAAATGGCGGTGAGGGTCCTAGGTTATTTGGCAATGGGCCTATAAATTACAAGATGAAGATGTTAATTTAAGAAGTCTTTAGAAATACCTCTTTTCTCCACTTGAGCTCGCAGAACACCCTCTCGAAGCACTCATGCATGTAATTAAACTGGGGAGAAAAAAGTAGCAATACTCACTCACTCCTCAAGACCAGGCACCATGGGGCTAAACCTTTGAACTCCTGCCAGACTAGAAAAAAGCTCTAAGTACTACAAAACTCAAATCTGGCCATCTGTTGCTCTCTAGCTCCTTCTAGTGGTAATTATGAGTTAAGCGGCATGTGAAATTGCCAATCTTAGGATGAACTTGGGGTGTACGGATTCAAATAGGTTCTGACTGATTTCAAGCAAGTGACATCTCTCTGTTTCTATGTATTTAGCTTTAAAAAAAAAAAAAACTGATGCCCAACCTACTTTCCCCACATATCCCTCCCCATGTCCTACTCACATAAGGTGTGAAGATTTTAACCCATCTGGGCTTCTTCTCTCCTCGTGCATATTCAAAACAGAAGGCCATTCCTTCTTCGTCTGTGTCCCACCGCTGCATCTCATTCCATTCAAATGCTATGACCTGGTTCTAGACAACCAAGAATAAGTCTAGAGTTTGAGTTGGAGAGTTCTGGGGAGCTTAGGGGAGGGAGTTCTGAGCCAGATAGCAGAAGATAAAAGAAAGGAAACCTCTGCAACATTTCTGGGAAAGGACTATAACAAAGGAACAACAATCAGGGGAAGCAGCCAGTGAACTTGAGCATCAGATCAGTTTGGACCCACTCACTGCTTTTTACTCCAATGAAAATACAGTTTTGATTTCATTACCCCTCAAAGAGAAACTGAAACACAGCAAATGAGTATGGAAGTATCCATTTGCAGTACTCCTACTCAGCCCACACTGAACTCTCACCTCCAGCTGTCCTTCCTCAGTGCAAGCATGCAGTTTAAAGTGCGTGATGCTGATGGCTGTGATAACGTGCCCCTTCCTCCTGGAATCACAGGCACAGTGGGGGAAGATGATTTCATTGTAGCCCTCACAAGTTCTTAGCATGTTGAGGTACTAGGGGAAAAGGAAGGGGAAACAGTATTACCAGGAAGTAAAGCAACTGAAGAGCTGCTGACAGATACCAGTGTACCGTATTCTCACCCTATCACCTCCCAACCTGGCCTCCAGTCTCACAATTAGCCCCAAGTTGGCACAGGACTCTGTGACTTATAGCTGCTCCCAGCATCAGCCTTCACATTTGCAATCCACAAATATCTACTTACATAAGATACATAAATGAACCAGAGAAGAGACAATGTAATCCAGACCTGCAGGGCTAGCAGGACTTCAAAACAGCATTTAGTCTGGTCCTCTATTTTCACTGCACTTCAGAGATAAGAATCTAATCTTAATTAACTTTTTTTTTTATCAGTACCAGAGATTGAACTCACGACTGCGCACTTGCAAGGCAGGCGCTTATGCCGCTAAGCTAAATCCCCAGCCCTATGAGAACCTAATCTATCCTTACAGTTAACAAAGGAAGATAATGCTTTTGGTTTGGCTATTCTCCAACCGAAAGTTACAATGATATCAGTGATGAAGACTAAGTTACTCATTTCACACCTATAAAATATTAAAACTGAAAGAAATTTATAAACTAGCCATTTTACAAGAATAAAGTAAAAATAATAACCAAGAATAAAGTAAAATAATCTTGAGGTCACAGGTAAGAATAATGGGCACAACCAAGGTGTAACCAGGGTTTAATTTCTAGACCCCTCCTCCATCATCAGCCCTGAAAATCAGCCCTAGTGATCCCTAGATCTGTTTGTATGGCTCCTTAAAAAGCAGAGAACCAAAACCAAATGGCATATATGAATGGCCACAGGTATAAGGCTGTAAGACTAACCTAGATGCAGCACTCAATTACTGATGCTAACTCTACCCTTTGTTCTTTTTCCTCTGCAGGTAAAGTAGGCCTTTCTTTATCCAACTCACTGTTCTGTTGAGAGCTGAGAGTTAAAAGTGTAAAAGATGAGTAGAAGAGAAACAGGAAAAGAAAAATCCGAGGAAAGAACCATGGTGTCTGTCCCGGTTTCCTCTGAGTGATCACAATGCGTATGGAACAAGCAAGCAGTCCTGAGCGCCACACCAGTGGATGCCACACAGGAAGGGCAGGGACACTGAAGTGTGTGCGGAGTACTTGAGAGAAGGCAAAAGCTCAGCATTGGAGCTGACTTCAACGAGACAGCAGTGAGCTTAGAACACACGTTCTGCTTTACCAAACGAGAAAAGAAAGGACACAGGCCACATAGGGCCCCTACTGGTGAGTGGCACTCAAGACCACAGCTACTGTCACCAGAAACAGAAGAATTCAGGACTTGGGCCGGGAGGGGATCACGCACATGTTCCCTTTCTTGCTTTACATTTCTGTTTTGGTAAAACAATAGCAATTTTAAGGGGAAAAATTATAAGAGGGTAGCAAGAGTACAGAGACAGGATGAAATGAGAAGTGCCACAATACTTTACTCATATCATTTTTCCCCTCTCATTTCTCTTTCATTGTATTCTTTTTATTCTTTCTGTATCAGTGATAAACATGAATACTGTTTAATCCTGATACAGTATTATGAACAAAAACAAACCCCTGATCCTCTAACTATGATAGGAGGTGGGTGGAATAGGAGAGGATTGGGGTTATAATAAGTAGCAAAACTTGGGGCAGAGAGCAGTATAGCAAGGAGTGAATAAGAGTTCAGGCCTGGCTGCCCTGCACTTCAATTTTGGCCTCTTTGCTTCTTAACTGTACAATCTGGGACAAAAATTACTTAAATTTTTGTCAAATTGCTCAATGCCAGGATCCTTAGTTTCTTCTTTTATAAAGTGGGAAATAGTAATAGTACCCACATCACAGTGTTATTTATGAACATTAAATATACATAGTACTTGGTACATAATTAGGAAGTTGGTAAGTGATGGCTAAATATATATATATATATATATATATATATATTTTAAAGCTCCATTACCATTAGCCAGAGGGCTCAACCATTTGCCCTCCTAAGAATGTCCTGTGCATGTGAGGGTGAGTATGGGGTACACACCTATACCCCCATTAACCAGGAGACTGAGGTGAGAAGATCACAAGTCACAGTCAGTCCTGGCAATTCAGTCAAACCTTGTCTCAAAAAGGACTGGGATGTAGACGTAGCTCAGTGGTTGAGCACCTCTTGGTTCAATTCCTAATGCCCCCCCCCATGATACACACACACACACGCATGCACATGCAGATGTGTGTGTACAAAATCCCTGTGAAAGATGTATCTGATTATTACTTTTTAAAAATTCAGAGTAGGGGCTGGAAATATAGTTCATAGTTTTTAATGATACAGCACTTGCCTAGCACAGACAAGGTCCTGGGTTTGATCCCCAGCACCGCAAAAACCAAAACTAAACAAACAAAACAAGCAACAGCAACAGTGTAACAAAACCCTAAAAAAAACTCCAGAGAGAAAAAGCATGTGAGACAGATGGAATAGGAAAGACAGGAAGTTAAAGATTACTGAATTTAGGTAATGAATACATGAAGGTTTATTGTAGTATTTTTTTTAACTTCTTTATGTGTGTGAAAATGTAATAAAGTGTTAAAGAGGTCTCTGCAACCAGGTCTCCAGTATCCAACTCAAGTCATCCCAACATAGCCATCAGAAATGCTGACATGCTCAGTGAGCACCTTAAGACTTCTGCAAATGCCAGTGGATGTCATGGAGCCTTGAGATTAGTTCTGTGTGTCCCTGACAAAACACACTTACATATAACAAACGCACCTGTTGAGAGGTTTCTTCCTTGAGAAGCACCACTACTGAGTGAACAAACATTTCTGACATATTCCTAATTGGAAATTCTGTGGTATAAATTTTTTTGACAAAAGCAATATGACAAAGACAGAGATTAGGAAGAATTAGATTACAATTAGCATTCAATCTGAAGAAACGTGGCACTCTGCATATCTTAAAACACTTTCTTTGTGATCTTACGAAGCCTTTCCAGGGATAGGGAGGTATAGGTCTGTGATAGTATACTTGGCTAGCACACATAAGGGCCTGAATTCATTCCCCAGTTCCTCAAAAAGAAAACAAAAAAATGTTACTCTACTTGGGGACTCCCCTCTGCTGGAAATTAAGGATTCTGCTGCTACTCTGTTTCCTGATACAGGGAAAAACATATGCATCAGACCCTGACAGATATGGGTTCAAATTTTAGTTCTACTTCTGATAGGTTATGTGATTTCATCTTTTTTTGTACTTGGAATCAAACTCAGTACCTTGTGCTTGCCAGATGTTGTGCTGCTGAGCCATATCCTTGACTCTCCTACACACCCTTCTAAAAATTATTTTTATTTACTTATTTATTTTGAGACAGGGTCTCAGTAGGCAGTTCAGACTGTCCTTGAACTCACCATGTAGCCCAGGTTGATCTAGCTGCTGCAATCTTCTCTTGCCTTGTCTCCTCACTGCTGGGATTATAGGCATGGGCCACCGTGCCTGGCCCTTGGGTAAGAAATCTAAATTTCAGCCAGGTAAGGTGCTGCACACCTGTAATCACACCACTTGGGAGACTGAGGCAGGAAGATCACAGTGAGTTCAAGGTCAGCCTGCATTACATAATGAGACCCTATCTCAAAAAAGACATCTAAATTTCTCAGATTCTAGCTTTCTTCTGGGGGGATGATACCTGCGAGGCTGTCAGAGAAGAAATGAGAGTACAGAAAGGTCTAAAGTGGTACTAGGGACTGAAGTGGGAAAGTGGATTGCGTGCCCTCTTTACTCCTAACAACGGGCAGTCAGTCCCTCCACATTAGGGAATGTGGTCCTGGAAAGCAAGAGACTGTCAGGGGACTTCTACTTGATGGTAAGTCCTAATGATCACCTGAGTGAAAATTAAGGGCTCCTGTACCTTTGGTGAGAGGCCAGAGGTAAAGTGTCACTGGTAGATTTAAGGTTTTCTAAGATTCTCAGGTTCAATTGCATTTTTCAGTTTTAAGTGGGCAAAAGCTACCTTCTTGGTATGCACAAAACCTACAGAGAAGAAACACTTAAAAGCATAAATCACTCCAAAATTGGGAAAAGGTGAATTTTTGCTTTTAAACATATTTATAATTTATTTAAAACATAGTTGTCCCACCAATTCTCTTCTCATATCAAGTGTGTGTAGATAAGCATCCTGAATTACCTTCCTTGGCTCACATACTTACTACATGTCCTATTTAAGTAACAAAGACAGTTACAGTAAGGGACATTTAATAGATGTTCAATATTCAGTAACACAGGTAAACACAGAAATAGGGCAGTTATTAACACACACAAAGAGACTCAGTACTTAACTGAGCTGAACACTTCAAGTGAATGGGTCAAGGTCCACTTTGAAGAAACTGCTCTCTCAACCAACTTACCAAAGAGTCAAAGCAGGTCTAAAATTTAAACAAGGGATTGAGAGGAACCTTGGGAGCCAATTCTGAAACTCTTTAAGAGTAGTAGTGATTCTGAATCACCCAAAGTTTCAGGATCACAAAGTATGCTTTTTAAAAATGAAAATCTTTCAAGTCCTAACCCCTGACATTCTGCTATGCTAAATGTGAGGTGAGGTCCAGAAATCTGTATTTTAAGGGGCTTTGCAAGCAATCACCACTGGAGTGGGCTGGCAACCACACTTTGAGAAAAACTTTCATACATACTGTCTCATCTAAAATTATTACAAGTTACATTAAGAAACACCAATATGTGTCAGTTCAGATGAGACCCTATGAATTAAAGGTGCTACAGCTATGGACAATATGTCAGTTCAACAAAGGCAAATTAGGCTATTCCAAATAAGCAAATCATAAACTATACTTGTTTACTGTTTGAGAATACAGAAAGAGAGAAATAAGGGGAGGGGACAGAAGGAGAGTGGAGGAGAGGAGGGAAGACTCAATCCTCCAAACCTGAGATTCAATCTAACTTTGTAAACAAGCAGAAAACAAAAATGCACAGCAAGCATATGAGTTGTCTCGTATCTGGAGGACAAAGGAACTTACATAAAGCTTACAATATCTTATATTGTCAAGATTCTACCTCAACAGCTGTCAATCTGAACATTCTCATCTTCCAAAAAAGAAAGCAAACTAGTAAGTTTCTTGAGCTGTTGCAGGACTCATGGTGATTTGGCAAATAAGTGCAGTGCTGTGACTTCACTGCAGGTCTATCAATTTTACGAAGTTGCTATAGTTAATGGCACCAGGATCTCTGGGCTCTGAAAGGTACATATGACCCAATAGGCTGTCTTTGACACTGTTATTTGAATACATAAAATTCCAGCTTTGTTGAGATTTTCTTCAAAATCTATAGCAATATGAAGTTAGTATATACTTCTATGTTGGCATATGTTTCCAACACATGGGAATTCTATAAATGTTTAAGCATATTTTATGCTCCATGCCAATGACTTGTGGGAAAACGTGTATCAACTGTACTTTTTTTATAAGTAAGTGATTATGAAATTATGAACTTGAGTCTAAAAACGATTTCATAATAGATTTCTGTGCTTACTTAATCCTTTGGCAAAATGTTTCCACATTTTGCCAAAGAACAACCCAAATTTATTTATTCCTCTAGCACTTTGTACTGTGTCTGGCACATACTTGGCAGTCAACAAGTATTTTTTGTTAAACACATAAATAGGATAGTGTGTTCAGAGTACTATCTATACAAAGAAATAATATGCATTACATACTGATATTATCAGAAGATCTTAAGAAATTAATTTCTTCTCTTTTCAGTAACAGGAAGACTTTACTGGCTTTGACAAAAGCAAAGAACTATTATAGAGGTTGAAGCCCATAAATAATTTGCCTTTTCACTGAAGAAATGCAAATATATTAGTCAGAATAATGTATTATTATATAGGAGACAATGTTATCTTAATAGGTAGACACTGCATTTTATTGATTTTTTTGAGACAGGGTGTCACTATGTAGCCCAAGGTAGCCTCGAACTCAGTGATCTTCCTATCTCTGCCTCTGGAGTGATGGAATTACAAAGGTGTTTCATCACGCCCGACAGAAGTTGCATTTTATTTATTTATTTATTTTTATATTTTGAGACAAGGGCTGGCTATGTGGTTCAGGCTGGCCTTGGGCTCACTTTGTAGCCCAGGCTGGTCTCAAACTCGCAATGATCCTTCTGCCTCACCTTCCCAAGTACTGGGATTACAGGAGTGTGCCACCATACCTGGCAGAAGTTGCATTTTAAAATCCTGTCTCACACACAGAAAAATGTCCTAACTAAAATTTTGCCAGCATTTAATTTATTTAAAAGATTTTTGCATTTTCCATGTTAGCATGCTGATATGTAGAACACTGGTAAGATGGATGGCTACCTGGTCTCTGGCAATATTTTTAAGGCAAAGAGATTTATTACTTTTCATCATAGTAGTATAATGAATATCCTATCTAAATATAAGATTATGCTCTAGAGTCAATGGCTGACTTATTTGTATTCTTATTCCAACTCAACTAATTTAAGTGATGAATACTCCCTCATAAGAACTACATTTATATACAAGATAATTCACATGACCTATAAAATCATTACAGATGCAAGACTATCTTAGGTGAAATTAAGTTGTAATTGGAAAAAATTCAACTACATGTGTATCTAACAAGAAAGTTTAAAACAATGAGTTTTTAAAAATTTGGACTGAAAAAATTTTTTTAATTTTTAATTTTATTTTATTTGGTACTGAGGATCAAACTCACAACCTTGTGCCACTAAGCTAAACCCCCGGCTCAACTGAGAATTACTGTAAGTGTTTTTTCCTACTTTTATTTTTTACAATTTCCATCCCTGTATCATGGCAGATGCAAACAAAACTAATTTTAAAACATTTTAGGGAATACCTTAGGCAGCTTTATCTAATAGAATTTCTTATGGTGATGAAAATGTTCTATAGCTGATGTGTGGCTACTTAGCACTTGAAATGTGGGTAGTGTGACTGAAGCACTGAATTTTAAATTTAATTTAAATTTAGATTTAAATAGTTACATGAGGCTTGTAGCTGGCAAACTGAGTATCATAGCTCTAGACTGTACAAATCAAAAGTGCTATTGGGCATAAATGTCTAAGCAAATACAGAAATGGAAGTTGTAGAAACAAATGATTTTGCTATTACTAAATCAAAATCTAAATACCTGGGCTATAGAAGCAGCCCAGCAGTACACTTGACTAGTATGCATGAGGCTTTGGGTTCTATCCACAGTAAAATATACACACACACACACAATCTAAATACCAGTTCTTCTATAATCTCATCTTTATCATATAGTGATGTTTACATACCTGTTTTAGTACTTCTTTTAAATCAGAAAGAATTCTGTTCAGTTATTACTAATAAATTATATGCATATCTCTAGTAATCTAGCTTTTTGTGTGTCAATGAGGAACACAATGGATTTTACGTTAAAGTCTTTTTGCATCAAAATCCGTACTTTTTAAAAAATTAGTTAATCCCAGTACATTTCAAAAATGACAGAAAGAATAGTTTTAAGGTGAAAGATTTATACGATAGGAAGAGAAACCAAAGTACAAGAAAAACAGTTTTAAGAGGTAAAAAGAGAATTTTATAAAAAGTATTAATGGGCATAAACTTACCATGACCATTTTCCTTTGTTCATATAGCTTCTGTAATTGGTAAGACTTTTCCTCTGCTTTGATGTAACCTTTCTTCACATCATCAACAGCCTATCACCAAAATAAACGCAGGGAAGAAGGGGATGTAAGAGGCATTATCAAACACATTCTTGATAAAAATAGAAATGTAGGTGCATTTTCAGAAAAACCTGTATCTTCCTGGATTATCATCATAACTGTATCAACATGGACATATTAATTTGAGTAACTAAAGAGTAGCATTGCTTAAGAATTGTTCTAAGCATGTGAAAAATCATGGGATTTTTTTTTTTTTTCTCCTCAAGTGGCTTAAACTCTGCTAAGTTTATACACATGGAAACAGTAAGGGAGCTGATATGGTGGTGCGTGCCTATGTGGGGAGGTTAAGTCAGAACAGTTACAAAGTTGAGTACTATGTAGGCAACTCAGCAAGACCCTATCTCAACATTTTAAAAACCAATGAAAATATAAAACAAAATAAGAAACAAAGAACAGTGAAACACAGTGCATGATATCATATTAAAGGCAGCAATGATGTAGCAAAATACAAGGTCTAGACAGTAAGTGATATATGCAGTCAGGACAGGAGTATTTACTGTTAATTACAGTTATTAGGGAAGCCTTGGGTGAACCTTGAAAGGAGAAGTGAGGAAAAACTACAAGATAAAGTCAGGAAACAGTAATGGATTTGAGCTCTAAACATTCAAGAAGCTGGGCATGGTGACATATGCTTGTAATCCCAGTATTCTGGAGGCTGAGGCAGGAGGATCACAAGTTCAAGCCCAGCCTGGGCAAGTCTGTGACTCAGTGAGACTCTATCTCAACATGAATGAATGGCTGGATGGGGATGTAGATCAGTGTGAAAATCCTGGGCTCAATCTCCAGTACCACCACCACCATACACAAACACTGCAGGAAACAGATGTGCCCAACTGAAATAAAGGATACATGTGAAGAGATAAAGAAAGGTAAGTGCAGGATAGGCAGGCTAACTATAGGAATTAAAAGATTCTAGCAAGCAGGCATAGAATTTCAACTTAAGGAAGTAGGGAGCTAAAAAAACTAAGAGGCTACAGTGGCTTTGATCATGATAACCCACCCTGCTTCCTCTACAGTGCACTTTTATCTTGCTATTTCTGTTTTACTTGGCCCAACCTGGCTCTGCAGAGAAAGCTTTTCTCTTACTGTTCACTTTTACTTATTCACATAAACTTTGCAAAAGAGAGGAAGAGTGGCTTTTTAAATAACAAGATGTTGTCTAAAAATTTTTTTTTAACAAGACTGACTTATGTCTGCTCTGTAACTGCTCTTGTGCCAAATGAATTACACCTAGGAGAGAATGCAATGAAGATCAACAGCACTGTAGTATTTAAGTAGAAATATTTACCACAGTCATGAAGGGAGACAGCGTAGACAACTGGGTAAGTTTAGGGTTAAAATCAAGGTAAAATAGAAGAAACAAAAGTAGGAAGAAAGGGGATAAGGAAACTGCAATTTTGAGAAAACTACACCTTTGACACACAAAGTTACCCAAAATTATGACACCTCTTCACTCCTTTGCCTGTTTTCTTCCAGCCTGCTCACTCCTAAGTCCCCCGAAGTCTTAAAGATATCAAAAGCTAGGTTGGATCTGTGTTTTCCAATTCTGTAAATCCATAAATTCTAGACATCCACCCTCAAAGGAACCCATTATTAATTAGGTACCAATCTCTAAACTTCAAACACAAGTGGTTTACATTTTAACCTAGTTGATAAAGTCAGCTTTTGCTTCAGCTCTCTAATGGGTAACCTGACAAACACTAGGTAAAAGATAAATAATTCAAAGAATAAATATCCTAGGGTCTGGGGATATAGCTCAGTGGCACAGCACCTGCCTGGCAAGCACAAGGTCCTAAGTTCAATTCCTAGTACCTAAATAAAAAAATAAATAAATATCCTAGATCAGCCAAAGTATATCCCAAGACATAAAATACCTGCAATGTGTCTCACTCCTTGAGCTCCTGCACTCTTCTCTGAGTATAAATTTTTTGGTTCTGCCTAATTAATTCATCAATCACTGATGCATTCTCAAACACTTTCCTGCACTGAAAGTTGAGAACCTACTCAAGGTGAATTGAGGTTGCCATCTTCTCTAGGGAGATGTTCTTGGTTCCATTCAGTGACAAAAGACTAGTTCTACTTCTTGCTTTGTCACCTACTAATATTGCACTTGGGAAAAGTACTTAAACTCTCTTAGTCTATAAAAAGGGAATAATATTCATCTCATAGATCACAATAAAATGTGATAATATATGTTAAGAATTTAACAAATTATATCTAGTCATAACTAGTAGTATTGTCAGTATCACTTAGCTATTAAGTTCTTCAGAGAATCATACAAGATATTAATGTCCTGCCAGGAACTGCCCATGGGAAAGGTTATGCTAGTCTTTCTTCAATCCTGGCCATACAAAAGAGGGCTCTTTAAGTAGAGTGGATTATATACACAGAGGGATGTGCAATAAGAACTGCTGTGTAATGTGCTGAAGAACCCCAACACTCCGTCACTTACTAGTCTGGTCAAGCTTCCAACGTACAATCAAACACCATGGGTTTTGTGCTGCTGAGCTATATCCCCGGCAGACAGCAATTTTTTAAAAACAAAATTATGTTTATATTTAACATGTATACTTTTTGGGTCATTAGTCCATAAACAATATATGATCACTACCTAATATCATTTATATTTTATTAGGTTTTACTAGTAATGAACAGATTAAAGTACACAGGAAAAAATACTGAAGTCGCGGCTGGAGGTTTAGCTCAGCGGCATAAGCGCCTGCCTTGCAAGCAGGCAGTCGTGAGTTTGATCCTCGGTACTGATAAAAAGGAAAAAGACAAAAAAAAAAAAAAAAAAAAAGAAATACTGAACTCATATACAAATCTATTCCTTTAATAGAAAGGACCCAAACATCTCAGATTTTGGTACTCATGGGCAGAGTATGGTGTGTATGTGCTGTGTCCTGAGACCAATACCTTGAGGACACAAGGGAGGACTATAACTTAAAATATGATTTAGCCAAAGGAAAAGGCTTTACAATCCTTTTTCTGATGACCAAATAAAAGCAATGTATTTCTGTTTTGTTCAAAACCCAAACACTAGGATGGTGTCTGTTTCAAAACAGTACCTAAATATTTAATGACCATTTTCCCAAGGCAGAGGTGAGTCAGAGGGACCATTTACTCCAGCACCTCTCAGCTATTTATTCACATGGAGTAGCAAAATGTTCTCTCCTTTTTCATTTCTAATAAAAATTATACTGCATGATTAGCTTGAATAGAAAACATAAATACCACCACACTACTTTTTTTTTTTTTTTTTTTTTTTTTTGGTACCAGGGATCAAGCTCACGACCTCGCACTTGCCAGGCAGGCGCTTATGCCACTGAGCTGAATCTCTAACACCTTGTTTTTAATTTTAAAAATGTTTAAAGTTATATAGTTAATACAAAAATGCTACTAAAAGGTTCCTAATAGAAATGACCATCTCCTGATCCCAAAGCTTTATTCCAAACTTACTTAATTTTAATTTTTTTCCAAACTTTTAAAATAGTACTCACCAGAACCTTGACCCCGAAGTACATTGGCAGACCTTATTTTTATTTTTGAGATTCAATAAATTGCAAAAACTACACAGGCTGGGCTACAACTTGCCATCCTCCTGCCTCAGTCTCCCAGAGTGTTGGGATCACAGATATACACTGCCACATCCAGCTTTCTTTTAAGCACTTAAAGCAGTTTTTATGATCATCTTTCCATAATTCTAAAGGTCATGCTTACATTAATAATTTGAGCCGTCAGTTTTAGACATTTTTGAGTTCCTGTACCACTAACTTTAGGTTTTTCTTACCACATATTCCTGCTTCCTCTTTCCCCAAATTCTCAAAAAAAAGGTTTAACCAACACTTGTATTATAAGTACATAAGCAGTATTCACCCCTAAGACACATATTATACCTGTGATTTCTTATATACTTTGTTTTCTCTGAGGTTAACTGCTTCATGTTTTTGTTTGTAACTTTCTACTTACAAATATCTAATTTGTATCAACCAATTTATAAATAGTAACCAATTCTGTCACCAATTCTTCCATAACAATCAAATAACAAAACTACTCTAGATTTATTCAAATAATTCATTTTCAAAAATTGATGACACTTGTCATCTCCTTTGGTATCTTCCCCTGTACTCTTTCTTTACAGGTTTATGTCTTTAAAAACCCCATTACCATTATTTTAGTGAGCTTTCGTGAAGGAGTGACTTACGTGTGTGTGCAATCTGCCAGGTTTAGCCAGAATTTAAACTATCACAAATTCCTACCTTATTAAGTTTTTTAAGAAAAAGGCTCATCATCATCATCATCATCATCATCATCATCATCATCATCATCATCAATCTTATCATTATTTCACATTTTAACACTTCTGAAATTAGGATGTACCTTACAACCAGTGATCTGTCAGTTTAACACGCAGGATTTCTTTCTTAGCAATACATAAAATAATGGTGCATCTTTCAATATATGGTACTTTAAAACTGATAAAATAGATTAGATATTCCCACCATCAAAATATGACATATAAATATCCAAAATTAAGTACAGGAAAAATTTATCTTGCAAGACACACACAAAAACTTGTGCCTTGAACACTGTTGTTATCACTAATGACCCATCAATAACTTAAAAACCGAATTACTCTATGAATCAGCAATACTACTTCTGGGTATATTGTGGGGGGATGGATCTTAAAGGAATATCTGCACACCTACATTCATAGCAGCATTATTCACCATGACTAAGAGGTAGAAACAACCAAAATGTATATTCACCAATGAAGGGGAAAACAAAATGTGGTGTACACACAAATGTATTATTCAGCCTTAAAAAGAAAGGAGCTGGGTGTGATGGCTCATGCTATAATCCTAGCACTCAGGAGGCATAGGCAGGAGGACTGCCTAGAGTTCAAGGCCAGGCTGGACTATAGAGCTAGATCCTGTTGCAAACAAAGAAGGAAATCCTTTTACATATGGACC